AGGAGGTGTAAGAGGGTGGATGGAGTTTGAAGTGGAAAGCAAGGACTTAAGGGGAAAAGAGTGTGAAGTTGGAAAATACAGGTGAAAAGGACGACAACGACAGACACGGGAAGAGACAGGAGGAAACCATCTGCATTTAAAAGGCTTAAGCAGAAATGAGGGAAACAAGGAGCTGCTACAGAAAGACAGGCCAGTAAATTGAAAGCAACTGGAGCATAGGACGGCCGAGGCCGAGACAGACACGACGTATAATCTGGTGTTTTGTGTGTCTTCAGTGGGTTCCATCCTGGTAGCGAAACAGCGTGGCTCTCCAGGCCTCTGGTTTCGGAGGAAAAGAGCCGGGTTAGCTTCTGTGATATCTCATGGTGCACACCGGCAACCATGTTGTCTTCTTAAGCAACTCTTTCACATATTTATTTGACACAAGAGTTGTGTACAGATGCAGTAAGTAAACAAACGCAAAGCAGGGATTGTCCGAGAAACAATCAAACACTTATACCCACACATCTTAAACGACAGTATTACTGAAAGCACTACGACAACATGCATAATTAAAGGCATTACCCCTAAAAATAGAAGGGTGGAAAGAGAGACTATAGAAGCAAGAGGTGAGAAATGTGAGAAAGACAGCAGAGTTGTTGGCTGTAGAGAGACAAAGTCCCGCCCCATCCAGTTAACCACTACAGGACCTCATTTCCGAAAAAAATATATAAGGAATAGTCAACAGCAAGACTTTGTCCCTTTGCCATAAAGGAACCAATATTTAACGTTACCATTTTCTACCGCACACATTGTTTCCAAAAAAAAGGTCACCAAAAGGGGGCAAAACGTCACCTCTCTATACTAACTATTTAAAAATCCAATGAACATATTGTGTCAGATTTTTGCATTCGGGAGTAAACTTGCCAATTTTCTTTTCCATCATCAAACAAACGCGCGTGAAATGATTCAGGCAGCTGTCTGATTGCCTGAAAGAAAAGACGTGATGGGAGAGGTGGCTTCATTATGTGGAGAAATAACAGGCAGCCAGCGAAGACGTCTGTGGTATTTGCATTATTTTGTGTAGTAGATTATAAATGGTGGTAAAGTGCTCTGCATTCACAACATGTTCACGGTTGATTTGCCCAAGGCATTTCATTCCATTTTACATTCCCTAGTCCTTACAATTAAAAAAACACCTTGCTGGTACTCTCCTTACCCCCATTATTTTTTGACCCTCCTTCATTTCCCCCTTTAATCCATCATCTTATTTCAGATATACAATCTCATGTTAATATTTTGTGTGTGTGTGTGTGTGTGTGTGTGTGTGTGTGTGTGTGTGTGTGTGTGTGTGTGTGTGTGTGTGTGTGTGTGTGTGTTTTTGCCAGTGCTCAGTATACCTTATTAAAATCCTTTTTTCCAAATCATTCTACAAAGGCAAACTGTTTGCATGGGGTCACGCTGGATGTTACCGGAAATTACAGTGCGATTGAACAGATAGCTCACCTCTTTCTCACCCCTTTCTCCCCATTCGTTTACCAACACTGTGCTGCAAAGTGACAATACAGACTTCTTTCACTCCTTATATTAGCTTACTATTCTTTCTTATGATTTTGAAAGCCCCGAGCACATGGCACAACTCTCAAAACAACCTATTTTCAGTAAATACTCATTTATAGAGCACTCAATATAATATGTATGCTCATCAAATAAGGCAAAACATCTTTAAACAAAGTGACTGAACTCCTGTAGAGCAACGTAGAGTGGAACTCCTCTGATCCACCCTTGGGATGTTTATTTGTTTAAGCCCCATAGCCTAGGCTGCCTTTTTGATAACCAACTCATTTGCAATGATAACATGCCCAAGAGGCTAAAATGGGGCCATTTACTGTGGCTGTGCTGATAAAGGATGAGCAACTCCATGATTGGCTTAACGTGATGTTCAATTAATAGTCAACCGTCCTAACGCACATCAAAGTGCCTCAATGGGCCAATCAGTGATTGACAGTGCAGGATAATCCCCGGCACAGAAGGGCTCAGCTATATTATATATCTCTAACTATTTACCACAGTGTGCAGACCAAACAAGAAACGTAAAGAGAGAAGAACCAAGAGGGATTGAACAAAAACTGGGGAAAAGGTGCAGCATAGGATTTTTTTTTCAGGTTGCTGCCATTTAGGCCCCATAATGTACAAAGCATCTGATTCCTAAAAAGGTCCAACTCAAACGCCAGCCTTAACATCCTCCCCATCTCATTTGCTCCCACAATGCAAAGCAGCTTAGACAGTGGGACCCTGCCACAGTTTTGCTGCAACAAAGGAGTTGTGCCGAGTACCCCGCGGGCCTGATGCTTACCGGCTGGCAGCTTTACATATAAAACAGGCGTGCCTATCTGTCTGTGCGCAGGCTGCGGCCACAGAGTCAGAATCCCCAACTTGGGAGCACTCCGAGGATCCTCGCTGCGGAGTACTGCACCGGGAGAGATTAGCAACAAACACTAAACATGACTGGTGTGTTCATGTCCCAGGCCTATTCCCAATCTCTACACTCACAGGCTTCCATGCGCGTCCGACAGGGTTTAGGGCGGCCCCACCAGTTCCTGTGGTTCTCTCGCAGACATTTTGGGCCCTTTATGAACACTTTCCGTAAGTCCACATTACCCCAAACAACTCATGGCAATGCGGTGTTGAACACTGGGTGACCAGTGGAAGCGTGGAGGCCGACAATGTGACAAGAACAGTAAACAAAGAGGACGGCACATTAAGGATTGAAGATGGACATGAAAACATATTGAAGCAGAGGAATGAAGCAGTGACTATTTCTCACAGATTTACTCATCATGCGTTTCATTTTGGCGTTGAAGCTATTAAGTCAAAAAATTGTATTTATATCTTTATACTTTAGCAACATTTTTATTCATCTTGTGTATTTGGATCTTTCGTAATGTTTCCCTTGTTTTATTCCTTTTGTGTATCTTTATCTTGTACATTGTTTATTTTTGTTTGCTGCTACTGGCTGACTTAGGGCTACTACAATGACAATAAAAACCTTTCACCTTTAACCTTTACAATGTATCCAGAGAGGGCCAACAGTGACTGTGACACGTGCAAACACTGCCATCTAGAGTATGTTATATGAAGTTACACTTTCTGACGTGAAGTTTATGTAACTAATTGAGACACATTGAGACACATTAGTAGAATATATAAGACTACATGAAAAACAAAAGATATGTTCATTTTTTGGCTATCCTGACCTTTAGGGGGTGTATTTAAAAATGACATACTGAAAACATTTATTAGTTCTACAATCAAACACAATACTCCTCAATCTGTCAAGTTTGACCCTTAATGAGATCATGTACAAAAACAATTTGCTTACTGACCTATATTGCTGACAATAAAACCGTTACGTATTTAAATGGGGTGTATGGTGTATGAGGGATGGACAGGAGGCACAGTAAAGGGCAGTGGTGGATAACTTTGTGGAGTGGGCGGGTAGAAAATAGAATGATAACGAAGACTGGACAAGAACGTGGGGTACAAGTTCCACCAATGAGATCTTTTCAAATCACATTCACAAAACGTCCAGTTTTAGACAATATGTCCACCACAGATGAATAGTAGACACACTCAAGGTGTCAGAGCCATATTTGCTTTAGTAAGAACTGTCTTTATGAAAAATGGGTTGACATTTCTCCTCGGAGTTACGTTACTGATGATGTCATAGCCAATATATTCGTCAGTCGAGGTTAATCAGTCTGCGTTGTGCCAAGTTGAGCACTGAATGTTTCTTGTAACTTAAGTTTGTTAAGTAAATGTTTTGAAACGCAGTTGCTCTCTATGAAGATTAATTACGCCCATAAACAGACTTATTATTAATAAGTCAAGAACAAGGATCAACGTGGACGGAGGCAAGATTTGCCACTGCAACGTCACTCAGAGAGGATCAGGACGTTCTGCAGGTCTAAAGTTATGTATGACAAAAATGTATGACCCGTAGATGAGGGTTTTCAACATCAATGTGATGGCGTATTAAATACAAGGTGAATTATATTTTAAAACTATTTCCATTCAAAACTAATGCAAAATTTGAGATATATTGTTAAATACAAGGTGAAATATATTTTTAAACTATTTCCATTCAAAACTAATGCAAAATTTGAGATAAACTGTTAAATACAAGGTGAAATATATTTTTTAACTATTCTCATTCAAAACTAATGCAAAATTAGAGATAAATTGCCTTATGAATGTGATTTGAATGTAGCTCCTGAGAGAGATTTTGAAGGGATGTAACGTTAGATTTAAAACCCTAGACACAACAAGTAAGACAAGCTTTGGGTTAACTTACTTGTACCTGTAGGGGTCTCTTTTTTGTCGACTGCGGGCTGAGAAAAGAAACTCCACAGCAAACTACCGGACCCCATTTTGGAAATATTACCCGTCACTCAACCTCCTCTGGTTGTCACTGTAGTTCCTATTGAAAAAGTAATCTGATATTCCTGAAACGCGTCGCTGCTTCCTGGTTTCCGGGCATCACGCGCGAGCGACAGTTGCCAGTTGAAGCCACTAGATGTCGACGCATCACACGTGCAACTCTCTGTGAAATACAGAATTTAAGGGAACAACATGGCTGTTCAGATTCCACTTAGGAATTTGGTATTCAGTCCGACTACTAAATTACAGCTGAAAACACAGGTGGGCCATGGATATGGATTATATGACACCCGTATGACCGACTAAAGAGTAGAACTTGAACTGGCTATTGCCTATGAAGTGTGCATGAAACGGATTGATTGGCCCGGTGCCGACAGGCAAACTGCACTGACATGTTAGTTCAGGGGGAATGTGAGAGGATGAGCACTCAGGAGGGGAGTCGAGGCTTGCACAAGAACTGGACACTGGGACTACATCATGCGATTTAGATAGATTTGGTATTAGTTTCATCCAAATATCCGAAAAATATGTGATTCGTGTGATCCTGTATGCAAGACACAATATGACATCTACACGCGACACACATTTCCTCTGATTACCCTTTATTGTTCAATCTACATCAGTTGGTGTTTGGACAAACCGCCTCCGCTCATTTCGTAGGATACATTTATGACCAAAGAACATATTTCACACTGCTACAGATTGACAGAATTGCCATATCGAATGTTAAGATGTCTATTTACTGTCATGCGGAATGTTTTTTTTATCTGTAGTAATGACTCACTGATGCTGTTTCTGCTGCTAGTGTGACTTCTGGCATAATATGGCATCTATAAGTCCCGGTGGGTGGACGGCATTCCATAGTATCGCCCTTCATCGTCATTTACAGTTGGAGGAAACGGCGAGACAGTATAATATGTTTATACTTTGTAAAAAAAATCATACCCATTGATATTTTCACCAATCGTCTTTGCACAATGTCTTACTGGTACCTATTTTTATTAGTTGTGCAATATTTGAAGATAGTTAACAGCTATGATCGTATAGAGATATTAATGTATCTACAGCCTTGTATATCCTTTTGCTTATGAGGATTAGCATTGTCATCCTGTACCTACTAGTATTTCATGATTACATTGTATATAAAAAAAGACCTCTGCAGAGTGACACTTCTGTACATGTATGTGTTCTCGTTTTGTACATAGCTGTAACGGTTCATTACACAGTCTCCCTTCCGTCTATAATTCATGGCAACTCCTTTTTGCGGCTTCACTTTGGCAGTCCGACCCAGTGGTGAGGACGGAGGGCCCAGGGCCTCCCAAACGCTTGACTCTCAGAAAGTTACGTCATCGCAACACCCGCTCTCCTGCCCCGCCCTCAGATGGGCAGTCTTGTGCAGCATAGTTCCTTGTGTAGTCTTTGATAGTCTTTTTTTGTTAGCGCCTTTGCAGCTAACCAATGTTGTGCTAGTTTGTAGGATACCCCCCCCCCCTGTTTATCTGGCCCGCGGTCTGTAAAAAGCAATTTCACAGTTAAGCCCCGAGCAGCAGTCTTTGTCCAGGGATGGGGTGAGAGACTCCAGAGGCTCCTAAGGGCCCGTGTCACTGGTCCATTTCCTTCCAGCCAGATGCTAGACTAGTGGTTCCTAATATTTCTCTTCGCTTTCACTCAAAAGCTTTTCAAGCTCATTTACTTTGTGCCATATTTGATCATTTTAAGCTGCAACCCATGCAAGACTCCCCGTGTAATCCTTATTATTAGGAAACACTGTACTAGCCCAGATGGACCAGCCTTGTATGGCATGCAGCTAATACGGCTATTTCAACTATAAAACTGACTGTTTGAAGTATATAATTCTTGCAGCGGTATCAGACAAATTACACTGTAATGAAAGCTGGAAAGACAATGTGTGTGATGGAAGCTTGTAATATGACATTTGTAAGCCATGTAATACATACGTACAATGAGCATCTGATGTTAGCTGTATTAGCTACAGTTACTAGCCTTTGGTGGTTTCAATGGCTGACTGGGGTAAAGTCCTGTATATGCCCTTGCCCCTCGGGGCCCCGGGACCGTCCTTGACCTTTGACATCAGAATCATGAACCATCTCTCAGGGAGATGCCGGAACATCCAAAGGCTTCATTCAAAATCTGGATGCCATGATGCAGGTCAAAGAGAAGAGAAGAAAAAGTATCCAACCACGGTCTGCATTTACTTAAAGTAGTTAAAATGTACACGGTTTTCATATGAACAGGTAAAGTTGTCATTTTGTTGAACAAATATTCTGTGGAGGATACTTATTCACTCTTGTATTCACTTGCGCTCCCCTCTGCCTCGCTTCTCAGCTTTCCCTCTCCCCCTCTCCCGTCGTTCTCCGGCTCTCCAGTTTCCTTCACAGGCTGTTCTTGTCTGGCAACTCGGCCTCCGGACTACGGGGAAAGTAGACGGTTGCTTTGTGCTCCTCGTAGCGGTCGATGTGCTTGAGGTGCACCACCATATGCAGGGCGTAGGCTAAGACCAGGAGCAGGATCAGAGATGTCACCAAGCCCATCAGGATGGCGGGCGTCAGAAAGGTGGCGCAGTCACTGGCCGACGCAAACTTGTCTGACTGTACGTTGAATGCCTGGATCTGGAAGAGCACAGAGAGATGGGATTAGGCTTAACTAGAGAGGGCGAGTGGTTCTTTCTTGGCTGACCACTCGCAGAGACCCTGGGCGGATGGACAGGTGGAGACAGTCTAGCAGATGGCTAAACAGACAGCGTATACTGACAGATTGTAAAACTGCTAAACAGACTGACCACACGCTGGCAGCTTAACAGGCGGAACACGGGCACACGGACACGTGTGCTCGAAAGCCGGGAAAACGGTGGGGAAAGACTCCGGGAAAGAGCGCAAAAGTTGTGCGACTTGTTCCACAGTGTACCTGGAAGTCAGTGAAAGTGATGTGCCAGCTAGCGGAAGTGTCCGTGTGGGAGCTGGGCACCAGCAGGGTGTCGTATTTGTGCAGGCTGCTGACGTGCTGGCAATGGTAGGACGAAGTGGCCGGAGCGTAGACCTCGCTGGCGTTAAACGTGGCCTCCTGGGTCCAGTTGTAGTGGATGTGCACACTGTCTAGTGTGAACCAATTTTGACCGGCTGCTTCGTAGAAAGTGTTTGACATTTGAAGCCTGGCGGAAGAAGCGCTGTAGTTAGTTCCATACACAGGTCACATGTCCGTATTTACAATAACGGCTCAGTGTGATACATTAGTTTAATATAGTATGACGTTCGGAGATAATATTTTAAATATGCATTTACCTGATTACTAGACCTCGCAAGTCCTCCACATCACCAAACTTTAATGAAAGCCTACGGTAAAAAAAAGTATTTTAAAACATTTATTTTCGCACAGTAACAACTCACCACAGTGAATATTATGGGTATTACTGTCTTCTCAATGAAGTACTTTAGCACTTTCCAACATTTCCTTAGATAATGTCATTTATATTTACATATCTCATAGTACTAGTAAGTAATCCTCCTTGTCACACCCATGACAATAAAGTATAATTATTTAAAGTACAATCAAAGCTGTGCTGATAAGAAGTTATCTTAAGCTGCATGTTTTGTTGCAAGTGCAACAATACAAAAAAAAGCTCTCTGTCCACAGCCTCGACTTACGTAGCTTTCTCCTTGGTGCAGATGGAGCCTTTAGTGTCCACGGGCGAGTTGGTGTTAAAGACCTTCTCCGTCAGGTCAATAAAGGTTTGGTTTCTGTAGCGAATTGCCAGGCGCTTTGCCTTGAACAGAATGCAGGTCTTCCCATTGTAAGACACGCTCAGTGGGCCGTAAGGCCCCAGAAGAGATTGGAGCAGCTTCCTCTTACTGTGATACATCCCTGGCTGATGCCAGTTAAAAGGCTGAAAACATATGAAGAGGAGAATTAAAGACAGGAGAAATAAAGATACTTGAGTAAACAGGCCACCAGCAGCACGGGCAAAAGAAGCTCTGCGTTCGTCGACTGCTGGAGGGGGATCGGATCTGTATTCAGAGACAGTTCAGGAGGACCACAAAATGTGCTCGCCTCAAGTTTTTGCTGATCCTGTTTGCCCTTTTAATAAATGTATTTTCCATCAAGAAGACCCCCCAAAATCTAGCTGTTGAATAAATAAAGTGTATCATTACGAAGTTGAGCTCAAACTTATGAAACCAGTTGTAAACACACAGGAGGATCCAGCCACTGAACAAGGACACAGCAGTCAAGTTATTGTATTCCTCAGTAAATGTAGCCATTGCAGTCGAACCCTTCTCGTACTACAACGCAACCTGTATGTATCACCACCAAGCAGCTCTAAATGTGCTCCTTATAACTGCAAACCAGGATTTCTTAGTATCTCTGCGCTTCCCTTTTATGGAGTCCCAGTTTTTAAAAAGGCCAATTACGCTTGTCATTCTGACCTTAAAATGTTCCGTGTGGAAACATCCGCTAAATCTCAAATGAGGATGGAGCCGTGTGGTCGTCTCTGTAGGAAAGCTTTATGAATTTGCATATAATAGTGTGGGAGCTGTTTTGCTGCATTTCTGCACTGTGCAGATAGAAACAGCCCCTTCCAGCCTTTTAGTCTGTTTGCTCAAAGGCCGCATCTCGTTGGAGGGCATTTGGGCTAATCCAGCCCTGTTTCACAAGATATGTAAAGTGGCCATGAAGTGATTATGTTTTTTTTTTATAGTATTTGGAAATGTGCGGTATGAAATAAAACATTTGAAAAGCTCCACTAATGAATCTGGTAGTTTAGGAGAGGTTTGTTGCATCGAATCGGTGAATCCATGTAGTGCCTGAATGCATCATCCGACACGGCATATAATTTTAACGCATTCGTAGTTTGAGTGGTCTGACGTGTGTGGGGGGCTAGGATATTTAACCTCTGGTTAATGTGCCGCCAACACCATTCCCACGGCCAAGGTCAAACCGCGTGGCTGAGTGAGTATGCTGTGTTTTGTTTGTGTGCATCCCAATGTGTGTCTGTGTGTGCGTTTGTATCAGCAGATGAAGATAAAGGGCTGATGGTGGCGATAGAGAAGAGAAGAGAGTGGTGTGTGTGTGTGTGTGTGTGTGTGTGTGTGTGTGTGTGTGTGTCTATGTGTGTGTACCTGCAGTATTCTCCTGAGTGGGTTTTCATCTTCAGGCGTCAAAATAACCTCTTCACTCTCCAAGCCATACCCACCATCTTGACCTGAAAACACGTACACACATTACTGCACCATGAAAGATTATATCAGTATGACACATTAAGCTGATTGCAAATGCGGCAATGCAGCTTTGCAAACATGAACATAAAAGTTAAGACAATTTCACACACGTTCGGCCGCAGACTCACACACACGCGCACAGAGAGATCCTGCGTACTACTTGGTGCTCAGGCTCTATTTCCAGCAGCTTTGCGTCATCACAGTGACTCATCAGCAGTTTGTTTCGGTTACGGTGGTATTGTTCCATGTTTGCAAACACTGTTTCAGAACCACATAATTTGCAATCAGAATATGAACATTTCAAGGAATGTGTCTCTCTTTTTTGTCAAACATAACGCATCTGATTTGCCACCAAAATGTTTTGGATCTGGCGCAAGCCACACATCAGAATCCAACGGTATCTCAGATATCTCAGCATTAAGAACGGCATGTGTTTGTCAGTAGTATCTTTCCAACACATCAGCGTCAATATGAACATGACAGGCATGATTGAATCAGGCCTCGTGTCACACCACAGTTGCTACTCACTTGATGTGATTCTTGTTGCTTGTTTGGGGTTCTCTTTGCTGTGGAAAAAAAACAGAAGAGATAATGAGGCCTGGTGATCACAAGAGGCCGAGAAAAGAGTTTTTTCTTCTTTTGATAATGCTCCATAATGTACACAAGGCTTCTGTAGCAAATTTCTTCAAATGTATTATATAAAGTATATATGTACTGATGCAGATGCAGCAATCAAAAGGACATGTATGAAAATGACCACAAGATAAATGTTGATTTGAATAACCTATTTATTAAATTACACATTTTGCAGCATATTCTGAATGCAGAGCACTTTTTACAGAGTTTACAGTATAAACTCAAGACACAAGACTTCCACATAAGCCTGAGTCCTGAGGTTTGCTTTGTGTCTGTGAAGAAGGAACACAGTCGTCGTGTGGCGTGCTGCTTTTACCGAATAAGCAACCTTTGATGTGGAACTGACCCACATTGTGCACAAGGGAAAGAGGGTGGATCGCTTCCTTTTCCATCACACGTCAGCCCCGGCCCGTGAACCTCTCAGCGTAACTAAACCATGTACAGCTATAAACTTCATGAGGTTAATCTTGATCCTTTTAACGGTAATCAAAGACGTCATATGTCAGCAATGGGATTACAGGGTCGTGCTGACATGGCCAGTTTTGTGTTAATACTGGACGTGTAAAAGGTAAACCGTAGAACTTGGTGTGAGTGGGAAAATACACGTCTGCATTGTGTCGAGGCACCAGGAATGACTTCAGTCTGATTGTTATTAGTAGATCAAATCATTTTGGGAATTGCAGCACAACAAAGGCAATATCTGTAAGGACCTTGATCTGTATCTTTGTTACCTTCAGTTGAATAGTAATGCTGTGATCTTGTAGGGAGAGCCTTTATAGTAGCTACATGAGATAGACTGAAGATGACCCAAATATTTATCAAACACACAAAAGCCAGTCAATAGCTGTAACTACTGTAATCAAGTGCTGTTCACATTTTGTTCTCTGAGGCAGACAGCAGCAGAGCTGCTCCATTTACTGCACTCTAGTTCAGTGATTTATGAACTCCAACCCACATTTTTTTTAAAAGGGTTAGGAATTGGACAAAAATCTATATTTGTACAACATTATTTCTTAACTCCACAGACCAGAAGGTACAACCGAGTGACATGTAGGTAGTTCATTTTGATTTCAATTTGGAACATTATCATTGTTTTACGTTGGTAATGGCCCCCTTTTTCTCATATTGTCTTTCCATAATCTGAAGGGGAATTGGGGCGATGTATCTGACAACCTTTTTTTTTTTCTCTCTTTTTTCATCTGCAAAAATTCCAAACCGTTGGCCTGGATTTTGGTCAGATTCAGGGAAATGATGGATTTGTGACACCGGGGCCAGATTGTAGACTCAGTCCTCCGTGGATGCAAGGCTTAATATCTTCACCATAGCGGCCTACTTTTTTTCCAATTGAAGAGAGCAAGCATCTATCCAGTTCTCACATTTACAAAAAATAATTAACTTATTAGTTTCGGATTGGGCAGTGTAATTAAAGATCAACACAAGGTCAGAAGACTTAGGGAGAAGCTTGCAGACGAAAAGGCATTAGTGTTGTGGCAGCACTAGTTAAGTTATAGATTTAGGGTAGGTAGCGAGACACTTCCAGTAGTCTGAAGCAGTTGTCTACCCATCTGGGTTAGTTTCCACCTTGAGAATATTAATGTGAGATGGATTTGGATTAGTGGTAAACACGGGCCAGGTCCACTAGAGCTCAAACATGGAGGGACACGGGCTCCGAACAAGATGAAGAGATTAAGACCTGATGTCACAGCCTTTGATATTCGCCAAGAGTTCAATTGCTAATTAAAACAGCTGCCCCAAGTCCTAAAACCGTGACTTGTGCACCCGTGCAGTCGATGACGAAGTGGATCGTGACCATTGTAATCAAGCTCATTTCAAATGGAGGAGTGTTAGGTCAGTTATTTAAAGTTGTCTAAATGGTAAATGGACTAAAAAAGGCACGTTCATGGTATGCAACATTCAGATGCAAGCTGCTCTTCCATGTGACCGGCATTGATTTTGACTTTGTTTCAGGTCAGCCATCACGCAACTGTAGAGTAATGACGGGGGTTGGTCAATAAATCAAAGTGAATCGAATTAAGCTTCAATACATTTGCGCCAATAATGTGCTGTCATTTTCTGTGACTTGTTCTCCAACGCAGACACTACCTGGCATATGTGATTGTGCCTGTAAAAGCACATCCTGGCACACTCTTCATTTAATGTTTCATTTATACTACTTGTATAGTAAATCCAAAACTGTACGTTATCCCAGGTGAATGCTGGGTCGGCATGTTTGTACGTGAAAGAGCTGCCAAAAGCACAAATTCCTTTAGCAGCTGACCGTTGTGACTGAAAATGTAGGACCAGCGTTACTGGGACGCCGCTCACTCATCACCTGCACTTACCATCTAAAAGAAAAAGAAAAAACTATATTATGTTTTAACTTAAAGATTCGACAAAACTCTCACATCTGATCTACACATTTATGCATTTGAATAAACACTGCACAGCTAGATTTAGTGATTAACAACTGCTTCATTATAAACATGCTGCGTATGCCCCACCCCCCACCCCCCAAACCTCCCTTTACCCCAGCCCATCCCAAACACAAGTGAATAAGCACTCCTTCCTCTGCACCTCGGCCCCAGCTGGCTGGAAGGAGCCAGAGGAGTCTGTGCGAGCACGAGTGCTAACTAAAGCCCATCCGTTTGTTCCTGTGCCAGTTTTGCGAGGTCAGCAACCCGGGACTGCTGCGGACACGTCATTGGCTCAGCCTGTCACACGGTGCCCGGGTGCTGAACAGGCCCTTTATATAATCAAAGCCACGCCAGAGCCACTCCTTGGCTCACCTCGCCCCCTCTGCACATATCCCTAAATATGTGCCTACAAACATGCACGTACACCGAACAGAAGATAGGACCGACTGCGACGATCACCGGCCTGCTACCGTCGCACTTCATTCTGGATATCTAAGTGTCTTGCTTTTAAATACTGACGGCATTGAGAACCTTTTACGCCATACTGACACCACCTCGGTCAATAACACCCCCCCGGGTTCACCAGGCGTCCTCATTCAGGCCCGTGGATTGGATGCCTCTGCTGTGTGCTGCTGAGAAGGTGTGGTGCCTGCTCCACAAAGATGTAACCATATCCTCTTCTCCTCTGCTGCCACGGGTGCTGAGCCACTGAGACTCTCTAAACCAGGATCAGCCCAACAAGGCCTTAAGACATCTTAAAACTGGGATACGGTACTGGGGAGTAATAGTGCGCATGGAACTTTGCTTGTTTTAAACATCTATTTTAGATGTTTAGAAATATTATAAATAGCACATATTCAGTATTAAGATCTGGCCCTGAAGCTTTTACATTTGGCTTTCAAGCACTAGAAACATCGAGGATGTCAACTGAGTATCAGACTACATTGACGTGCTTTGGTGCTCGGATTTCCTAATATTATGCCGACATGATATTTCATACCCGGGTATGTATAGTATTTCCCAATGCTGCATACAGGCTGAACACCTTTTGCAAAGTTTATGTCAATACAATTACAATTATGTCTATTAAAAATGAATCCATGCATGGGTTTAGCTGGTAACACGGTGGGAAATTGTGTCTTAATCCCACGGTGCAGGTACTGCCCTATTAATAGATTTATTAGTGCAGATTAAGCTTTAGGTGTTTACTAATACGCCAGCCACACCCGCGGTGCCGTTTTTAGTGTAGCGTTGATTGCGGATGAAACTTGACCTCGGTTCAAGTGCTATAGTTATGTAAATCTTCCCAGGCCTCTGAGATCAAATACCTCAGTGCTGGTGGGGACATACTAACATCGCACAGGGCGTCACAAATGCCTGTACCCATAAATACTCGCCTTTTACTTGATATTTTCTCACTAAATAATATGTGTATATTCTTCCAATTAGCTGGTGGGGTTTAAACCCTTTAATCTTTCCTTAAAGGCGGATCACTGATCCATCTTCTGCTGGAAATCCCTTACGTTGACCTGGTCTGGGTCTATATTTAGGTTGGTCTTTGTTTAACAGTTTTAAGATTCATTTAAAAACGTGTTAAGTTTACACTGCGGTGGATAAAAAGATACAAGCAACTTGTTCCTTTAACTTGAGTCTGTGTTCGTCTACACTGCCTATCTTCAAACAGGAGCAAGTGCGCATTAGTAAATCTTGCAGTGCTGTTTGTGTTTTAAAGCATCTTTTACTTTCCAGAATTTCACACTCATTTAGACGCTTGCGAAGGAGTCGAGGATAGATCCGTACTAATGGTGCTGACCCCATTCAGTCTTTGGAAGTGCGTCAGGGATCAGATTATTATATCATTCACATAATCATTCAATTATGTGAATGATATAATATAATGTGAGTCTGTTGTAGTGAGTTACAGCAATTGGACCATATCTAATTGTTTGAGAAGTTTACTAGGGCAGTTTAATTCAACACCGGTGCTACTGGTAAGTGAAGGACTTGAACATACTTGAACATATAAAAGTCATTACAACATCAATTTTATTCTCTGCTATCTTCATAGCAAGAAAAAGCTTACACCAGCATCCTTTTTTACATTTTGCAAACAACTCTCATTCTCTGTCTTTGCAGTTGATGGACAGTTCAGATGAGTGAAAAGCAATTCATGAATTACAATTTGGACCCCTTAACTGTACTAGTATTTGGATCTTTCCAAATCAGAAAGATTTTGAATCAGAACAGAAAAAATGGTTTATTTTTGTTAACATTTGTGACATCATTCATTACCAATTATTTTGTTTTAAACCGGGAATGTGAGAGACGTCATTATTTCTAAAATGTACTTTTAACAGTGAAAGTGTTTGTATGATGATGGATGGAGTTATTCAGGTAGAAACAAACAAACAGTGGGTCATCTGGTATTTCTAATACGTTTGCAATTATGTTGGCTATCAATCATATTCCAGTTGCATATATGTTGTAGCACTGCACATGTCAGTTACCGGATAAATAAAGCTTACTGAACACGTTTTCTTCAGTCTGCAGCCTCGTGTCTATTAGCACTATAGAGGCTTCTAACTCACCCTACCTTCCCTTCTGTATTTCTAACCTGTGTATTGCAGCCTCACAAGGTCTTTGAAATGAAAGGCTCGTCTTATATAACAGCATATTGGAGTCTGTCAGCTGTGACTGTCAGCGGGGACTGCAACTGTTACACGAAGCGAGTTACGTACAAAGTTTTTTTTCGGAGGGAAAGGCTTGAAACCCCAGGAGAAATCAACGTAGCCGTTCTCCATCGGAGAGACTGCGGTGAAAAGTTAAGATAGGGATCTGTCGGTGTTCCACAAACACCAGATTGAGCCGGAATGAGCGCAATCCCTGGAGTCTTTGTATATTGAATTCTAAATGTGCCCTACACTTGCAAACATGTCTACAGATAATATTCTTTTTGCAATAAATGAAAGCACGTCAGTGATAATCTTTCACGCTCCGAAGAGTATCACTGTCCTGCGAGTGAAACAACAAGGCCAGTCATGAACAATGATCACAGATCACTGTGTCAGAAACCGCATCGTATTTAGCATTTGCTCTATGGATAGTGTGGGCAATGATGCCTGGCATAGTTTCAAGAGCCTTACATGGTTTTGGCACAGTGTTATTGCATTAATGTGTCTGTAAGCGGGCAAGAACTGGTGCTAGCAAAGGCCTGATGTGTCTGATGTCGATTCAGTCTCGTCCCTGTTACACTGTTGTGAGGGTCTGAATATTTGATCCAGATTTGACCTGCAGGACTGCCTGTGCATTATGCAGACATGGTCGGCTAGAATTCCCTTCCTCTCCTCTCTCTCTCTCTCTCTCTCTCTCTCTCTCAATGACTGCATCAGTAAACAGACCCCGCCAGACCGTCCCTGAAGCATCCTCTCCTCTCCTCCCTATCCCATTGTTGTTTACCTTCCCTGCGTACTGGTCACCCTCTTCTCTCATCTGTCCTTCCCTTCCTCCTGCAGGCCAAGGGCCCTAGCCTTATTTAGCTTGCTTTGTTGTTAGACCAACACTACTGTACAGAGTCAACAGCCCCTGTCCACGATCGATAGGCAGCGTCCAATGCAGTGTCCACAACTGAGACAAACAAAGGCTCGCAGCTCAGCTCCGTCCGATACGCCAACGCTACCCACATTCACTGTTTGCGATGCGACCCTGGTGGCACCGGTAAGAAGGGAAGGGAGGCGAAGGAAGGAAAGAAAGACCACAAGGGAACACATCAGCATCCCAGCATCCCTGCATGCATCTCCCTATACACCCCCCCCCCCCCTCACCCCTTCCCCCATCCCCTCCCCTAGACCCCTCCTCCGTTCACAGACATAGAGAGGATGGATTTACCTTCTGTCCATGATTTTAGGCACTTCTTCAAAGAAGAGTCCGGGCTGATTCTCCTCCCCAGAAAAGGAGAGCCCGGGCCGGCTGAGAGCGGACAGCACGGCGAGGGAGCACAGGAGGAATGCGTGTGCAGCCATTGAGACAATGGAAGGAGACTGCCGCTGGTTGAGCTCCGCTTCATAATCTGCTCTCCTAGCAGTGCCTGACTCCCAGCTCCTCTGACTGGCAGCCTCCGCGGCCAACCGGCGTAAGAGCAGAGACGATTAGCTTGCGTCACATACCTCTCATGCTGCACCCTCCCCCCCCGCCCCCCCCACCCCCACCTCTCCCTCCCACCCTACTCCCTTCTCTGTCATCCTCCCTCTGCCTCTCACATTCTGCTCCCCCCACCCCACCACCACACACCTCCACTCCTGTGCTCTCTATCTCCTCTTCCTCTGTTTCTTGCACACATAGCCGCAGGCAAGCCCTATGTATAGACAACTGCTGATTTTTCATAGCACATCTCATCATACCTACGCTACCTAATTAAAACATCCACACACATGTAGACACATTGACACGTCCATGTCGGCACACAAGCCAGGACACACATAAGCACGTCCCGTCACAGCAGCTGGCTCACACACACACACACACAGCTCTGTGGAAAATCACCTGGGAATGTCAAGGTCAGGTTGTGCAGGAGGGTAGGAGGATGTTGACGGGACTTTAGGTGGGCCCGCAAAAAGAATTCAGAGCCATGACTGCATGACCTATATCTCCAGAACGCTTCCACAAAAGCAGAAATAATTCACTTGATCTATGTGTTTGTTGTGAGCGCTGAGAGGGCCCACGGCTGAGGGAATTGTCCACTGAGGCTGCAACTATGGATGACAGGAGCAGCTGAGCAGCCGTGTGATGAGACGGGACGGAGGGTCCATGCCCGACGACCCCGTCGGACGATCCAGTTTTCCCCTCATTATTCAGCCCCCGATGCAAGCGATGCCGCAGGATCTTGATAGATCCTCTCACATTTTTTATTTCCATATCCGATGACATGATTTTTAGAGCAGAACATTTTGAGTGGTTATGCAACCGAATGTTGTGACCTATAATCATGTTAGATTTTCCCCTTGATGAGTTCACACTAATTCACACTAATTCACACTAAAAAAACTACAAGGTTTTATACACAATAATATATGACTATGTAACATATATTATTCTTTATCCTATTTTTTTTGCCTCATGTTGTGTAACTAATGTGCGGCATATTTATGCACATTCATATGCGATGCTTTGTATGGTGATATTGTATAGCTCATTATGTTTGCGTGTGTGTGTTTTGTGTAGGTATTGCTGAGCGTGTGAGAGGTCAGCTGTGTCCCTTAGGCCATACAGTAACACGGGCTGACTAAAGGCTGCCTCAGCCCTCTGCATCCGCCTGCCACCGTCACTTCAAGAGGCCAGTGTGTCAGTCTACTAGTCTACAAACCACACTGTCACTGCTGCAACTGCATCACAGAACGTCCTGCAGAAAGACGTGTCCACGTGTGACGGCTTTAAAACCAGAATCTCACGCCGGGGTGTCTCATAAGATGATGTCCGACACGACATGCTGTTGATAAGCAGTGTTATTACGTTTGTAGGAACCCAAGTTGTTTTTTGTGGTTTTTGCCTGAAATAAAGTAACACAAGCTAGAGAGACTTTAGCTTTTTGTTCTACGACATGACCCACATCATAAAATAGACAGGCAGGTGATGACAAGTGGCTAACTCAGATAACAGAGGTTACTTTGGACTTTAAACGCCATCAAGCTGATAGTCCAACTTAAAAGGCTGTGCTGTTTTCATGCTGACACTTATGTGGCCAATAAGTTTGTTTCTAGCTTATCGTTAGCTTTTTCGATCTGGAGATCGAGCATTTACGCTTTAGAAATCATAACAGTAGTGTTTGTTTGTGTATCATTTACTTTTCTCTGCCACGGGTCTTCTTTTTTTGGAATAATCCGTATTAATCCTGGACAGAAACAGGACTGTACTCAGGTTTTGTCGACACTATCACGTGTGTTTTTCAGTTAGTTAAGACTAGTCGTCATTGGCATTAGAATTGTTTGTGAGGTGCCCTTTTTTTGTCTATCCAGTTTTGGGCTTTGCATTTTGTCTCGGTGACTCATTCAGCATTTTGGATTATAAAACAGATCGATGCATACAGCGCTTAGGGGTTACTGTCTATTTATAGCTATGATCTCATATGCAACTTTTTGATCCTGCTCTTTATGCCCACATGGAGCGCAGAGGACCGCACTACACAGGGTGATGTAACAGGTTAGTGCAGTTTTAGATGTGTTGACGATGATATAGGTCTGCTAATCTACCAGCTAACTTGAGCATTAGATCTCCGCTTTTAAAGCCTGTTCATGGAGGCCTTGAGTGTCATGGGAGGGTAAGTGCATCACTGCAAGTATTTATGTCTATGTATAGCACCGTTTTATCTATACGAGTGTATGTAGCTCCACATTTATTCAATTGTATTTATTGGTGTGTATTTGCGTTTTGTCACAACACTGTCCATCATATAGTATAGTTTGCATTTTTTGATGACCTTGCGCGCTACACAAGCACACTCAAACACACAGAGAGACACACACACTTACAATATGTTAATAGTAAAGATAAGGTGAATCAATAAAGTACGTAGAAGGCAGTTATTGTATGATGCAAATACAGTATTATGTTGTTTTGTTATAAGTGACGTATTCATTCGGTCTCATTTGTCAAGAATAAATGAACATTCCCTTTTTCTATTCAGGTAGTTCTCAGAAATCACATTTATACTTCTCCAATGTGTTTAAAGACAAAAACAGAAAAAAAAGTGCTTTTGTGGCGTTCCAATCATTTTACTGGATTTGCATTCAACACAGTATATAACACTTGATGTGAAAACATCCTTTATAAAAACTAGCCTATTTATTAAATATAGAACAATCTCCAGGTAAGCACACAGTATGCTGATTAATCTGCTGAGATTACATAACGTCTTTAAAAGCTTTTAGTGAGTCACTGCTTCATGTCATACAGGCATTGTCTCAGGCAATATGATATATGATGGATATATTCTCTATTAAACTGCAAATTAACCACTATGTAGTACAAAAAAATTGTAGAAATTGAGCCAAATATTCTCACGATCAACAATTGGTTCATACAGCACGTTTTGTTAATAACATGAAATTTTGTATCATAAATAAACAGTTTCCTTTTATACTATGTCATAAACAGTAAAATATAGAGAGTTACAGTCTCTACACCTTTAAGCTTGCAGGATCAATCATGTGATACCATGCAAAGAGATCCACACACACACACACACACACAGCAACGCAAAGATTTGATTGGCTGAAACCTGTGAATGGCCAACATTAATGATTAGTATTCATGTCACAACACTGCAGATTCATTCAGTACTTGGTTCCTCTGGGTTGGCACACTCCCACCCCGTGCCACTAGAGGCTGCTCATATATAAACCAGCAGTATGAATTCAATCCTTCAGTAACGGTCTCATTTCACGAGGCACAATATCAATATAAAGAAACGTGGTGTAAAAGCAAAATAATCTGCAGTGAGTGGAGAAGTTCATTTCAACCCCTGAAACACAGCCCTGAGCTCATTCAGTCCCTTAATAAATAAATTAAATACATTCAAGATGGCAAAAGGAATACATTACTTGTTAGTGTGACAAACTCCACTCAAAACGAAACAATGTGTGTAACGATGCCATTTTTCAAGCTGATTAATTACACAGTTCCCATATTGAAATAGCAGCAAGAAATACTACTAATAAACCAACGTTAACTGATAAACTCTCCCTACAGTAAACAGTGAAACCCAAAATAATACATTCCAAATGGATGGTATGCAAACAGAAACTGAATGTCTGCGAGACGTAAAGTTGATGATAATTGATCTGTCAGCATTAATTACTAACAGTACATTTGTTAGCTCACTAACAAACATGTGTCTTTCTAGTCTCCTTGCCTTTAAGATACAAAAGTGAAAGACAAACAGAGGCAGACATTCATTTATAGCTTTTAGATACACCAGGGCCTTTCTTTATATACTGAGACCCCCTTTAAAGACGTCAGTACTTCTAGTTAAAAGCTCACCTAGATCTATAGACAGTGCTTTGTGTTACTATGACCTTTTTTATACTTAAAATACAATCTGGGACTGGCAGGTGTGTAGTCTCATGCCTACACTATTTGACTTATCCATATTTGACAAGACTAAAAGAAAAATAATAAAATCACAGATAATATCAGAAGCATAAGTCAAACTAGACAACAACGATCATGCCAGGTCTATGCTTATCCGACATTCTCACAATGAATATATATCCTCACATTGTTATGTGGTTGAATACAGGTATCTTCACTTATTTGATTGTCTAGGAACTCAATTTCAGAGAGAGAGGCACCAGACTGTAAGGAAGGACAAGTAAAACAAATTGGAAAACAAATGAAGTCTCTCTACATAGATATAAACTCTAAAATGATCTGTTAACTTTTGAGTTGGTCAGCACTTGATCAATGCACAAATATAAAAGTGGCAGTCCTAAAACAAACCATTTGTCCCAATCCAGGATCAGCTTTAGCCCCCCTTGTGTTCGAACATTCGCCTGCGAGGCGGGAGAGATAAAACTAGCCCCAGCTCGGTGTCTAAAAGCGCATACACCAGTCTATAAAATGCGCAGAAGAGAGAGAAGGCACAGAGACACAAACCCACCGTCAAGTGGGGCGGACTGACAGCAGCTGTTTTTGGGGAACAAACTGGATGAAGCTGCAGGTCTGCTGGCAACAGATGGGTTGCTTACGACTTGCAATTTCTGGAAAAGAGCAAAGGTTTATATCGTTGCTGTCTACTTTCGTTTGTTTTGGACCTCTAACGTGGATACAACTTTTGCCATTCTCCATCTGGCCCCAAATGAGTCACGAGCACCCGACTTGTGTCAGTAAGTAGAGCCAGAGCCGCAATCAGTGGGCGATAAACCGAGAGGCGGCTCTGCCGTGTTCCTGAATGCACCGCCGAAAAACAAAGACGGCTTGTCCGTTCGATTCGTCGCATCACTATACCTCACCTGCGGGGGGCAGAGAAACCAAAGCGCACCATTCGCCCCCCCCAACAGACCCCATTTACACTGCTCTCCTGAAAGCGGCTGCCAATTGTGCTACAGATTAGACGCAGCCCTTTTATTATACAGCTCGTCCTATTTTACCACACCGGTCTTCTCCCGTGTTGTCTGGTTCGCTGCCTTTAACTGGGCAGGTTCTGTCACAGTCGCGTTTGCCGCTTTGCTCTCTGGCCTCTTGCTCTCCTGTTTGGTGGTCCTCCCACCCTTGCTGGTGCTACGTTGGTGAAGAGGCGATGCTGCTTTCACCAGGATGGGGGCTTTGCCCAGGGGAACGCGGGGGTCTTCTCCAATGTCAACAGTGAGGTTTGTGTAGAGCGGCTCCAGCTCTCTGGAAAGGAGCTCATAGGTCAGAGAGTTGAGGCCGTCTGAGCGCCAGTTGAGTCGGGTCCTTTTCAGAAGGTCAAATCTAGAAGGACGTAAACAACATCACAGGTTTATTTGCACGTAGGCGTGTGTGAGCAATTCAGGTTGGACGCTTTGATATTATAGGGCATTTGTTCAGTAAAGCAGGTTCTCTTTGGACAAGGCCGGCGAGCTGCTTGCTCCTGTTTCACGTCTTTATGCTAAGCTAACAGCATCCTGGCTGTAGCCTCATATTTAACGGACGGACGTGAGAGAAGCAACAGTTCTCTGCAGGACAGTCAATAAGCTTTTCCAAAATGTCAAATATTCCTTTCACAATACCATGAGAATAATTTGACAAAACCTCTCCAATTAGGTTTAGATATATTTGCTTGCTACTAGCTTGTTTTCCAAAGCATTATGGGCAAGAAAACTTGAAGACAACATCATTCTCATCCCCGTACTTTGTACGGGGAAGAAACTTCTCAATTGCCCCACAAAATTTGATCAAAAAGGTGAAACATTTCTTCTCAAATTATTTATTTTTTGTGTGTCCAGAAGTGCGTTCCTCTGGTACCTGCGTGGATTCTGTTCATTGCCTCTGTCTCCTTTATGCTTGATCATCTTGTAGTGACCAATGGCCACTGGGGGGCGCATGATCTTCATGCCGGATAGTCGTACTCTGAGTGAGAAGCAGACAACAAGAGTCAACAGGAGCAGCAGATTTGCGTTCCCAGGCAGGATAATATTCAAATCAACAAAACCTGGCACCTAAGTAGTCAGTAGATATTTTTAGAAATGCTAAGCAACACTCACTCGGAGTACATGTAGCCTCTAAGAAACACATCTAAAAAGCAGAAAAACTAAAAAGGAAACTAACAGAATTGTGGGTGACATGAGAATAACATACTTTTATGGCCTATAGGCGGTGGAAAACACCGTGGTTCCCTTTTTCCATCTCTGGTGCTTGAGTACCACCCCAGTTATCTAAGTCAATCAAAACACGGTGTGACCAATGTTGTGCATGTCCAGTAAATGACACATTTGAAGTTGCAAACATCATGCACAAATAGCGGATTGTTAAAAATGGAGGAGATAGTTTTGCGTCATGTAATAATTAGTGCGAGCTTTTTTGCATTTTTGTTTTCTTGTTTCTTTCCCTGTAGGATATTAGCAAATAGTAAAAGAGCCAGAAAAATGGACAGAGGGGACCGGGGCATAGAAATGACATGAAAACTGCCCGAAAAACTCTTAAGCACTGGAGCCTGGACCCAAATCTGCAAGCTAGTCCATGCGAACATACTCACTGAGCCCACTCTGGGAGAAAAATAAGCAAAGCCACATCAGTGGGAGGAGACGTGAAGATGATGAATGATGTTAGAACAGATTAAAGAAAAGTCAAAGACAAGGAAAACATGTGGTGCAGCAAATGTAAACATGAGAAAAGAAAGGAATGCGTGGCAGTAAAACGGACATTAAACAAGTACAAGAAGCTTGAAGCTTAAATGGCGTGCAGCTCGGAGGCAAAACACCCGTCCACGTCTCGCGTGTTCACATGCAGGGAGTTTACAGTTCACTCCGTCATGCGGTTATTCTTCCTCACCTAGCAGCGATGTCATCGTCCTCTCCGCCCCAGCCCCAGTACTGGTTAGGGAAGCCATTCATCTTCATGTATTGGTCCGGGGTCAGTGCAGACACGCCACCAAAATACTGTGGGTACGGCAGCCTGGGAGGGTCAAATCCCCGACGCACAATCTTTTAATCGCAGTACAATACACGTGTGCAAAAGTGCATCCATCCCACACACGCTTTGCCTCTACCTGTATCTGAACTTGTCCATGGCCACAGATAGGTGTGTGGGGGACTGTTTGTGGCAGGTGTAGGTGTTGTGGTCGTTCTCGGGCAGCAGGTCAACGTCGTGCAGGAAGATGCAGCTCCAGTCTTCATCTCTGAGGGCCTCCCGCACCCCAACGTTCAGTAGCTTGGCCCGGTTAAAGGTACTGTTCCCCCACTGGAGTCGGGCACAGAGACAGGGAGAGGGCAGGGGGGGTGTTACACACAGCGACACGTGAAGTTGTCCAATCCAACACAAATACAGCACAAGTAAATAGTATAGTAAATCAATGTCCTTAACAAATGTATATTACGATAATTAAATTATTTTAAATATGGATAATTCATAATACATACAAAAAAACACATTTTCATTTAATTTCCCTACGGCTTCTTTGAACACTATCTACTATTTCCATGGAGTCATCTTTTGGCTTTTAGAAACCGGTCTCTGACACTCGGCGGGGACGTACCGATATCACACCCAGACAACAGTAAGCATTCATCATGACATAGACAACGCACACTACGGAATAACACGCTGAGAAACAGATAATACATTTTTAAACCTGCATTTGCGCACAAACGCTCGCTCATCCTGCACATAACCTGACCTGCTGTACTATGTAGATGCTGTAGTGGATCTGCTGTCGTTGCAGGAAGGGGTGGAGGTGATAGAGCAGGGCACGAAGGTGGGTCTGCCGGTTCCGGTATGGTACCACTATCGCTGTGTGGTGGCGTGGCTCACAGTCAGGAGGGCGGTAGTGTCCGCCGGGCATCACCAACGGATTCCTCAGTATGATCTCCTCCATGGACAGAGGAGAGGAAAGGTGGACGGACACGGGTCCAACTGCAGGAACAAATTTTAAAAAGCGCGTTAGAAGTGGTATTAAATGTCAGCTTAGAATCACTGTTAACCCCGCTCGCTCTCTCACCCAGCAGCGGGGAAGGGATCCGGCAGTCTCTCAGCGGGGGTCCTGTTGCAGGGGGTCCAGTGCCAGAGTTGCGGGGCGGAGGAGGCGGTACTCCCAAGTGGCTGAGGTTGGTATAGACGTCGTGAGGTCGGGAATAATCAAACTCTGGCCCTGTGGTGTGCACCAGGACAGACACCAGGCCTCGGAAGCCCCCAAGGGAGAAATAGAGAACAAAGGCAAACTGGAAGCCCACCAGCAAGGCGAGCGTGCACGGGGAATCCAGAGAGCGTCCGTAGCACGCCATGATAAAGTAAGATGGTAAGAGTGGAACGAGAGATGGGGCAGGGAGCAGCTGGAGGAGGATGGGGGGGGAGCAAGGTGAGGCAGAGGGAGAGGGGGCGGGGGAGGGGGGAGCAGCGCTCCGTGCGGGCTCAGGCGTCCAGCGGGGGAGTGTCCATCTGTAGAAATGGGTAGTAGTGTTGGTGAAGCTCAGTCCGCACTGCCATCACCTCCTGACCACAGACGTCACTGGGGAGAATGAGATATGTAATTCATTGAATTGCATTCATTGTAGTTAACTAAAAATGAACTAATACATTACTAATAATTGCCACTATGATTGTTGAGGTCAATCAATCGAGATGTCGGCTACCTGCTTTTGCGATGGTCTAATTAAAACCTGTCCTGGGCCAGGATGGGATCACTCCGCCTCGGTCCTCCTCTTCCTCCTTTCATCACCGAGCTCTCTGCAACATAAAAGAGTGAGTAACAATGCAGGGTCCAGATTTCTCTGATGGTACCACCGTGCAGTCTTAAAATAAGCCGAGGAACGACAAGCAGCTACAAACAAATGTCACGTTTGCTGCTTTATTTAGAATGACTTATTTCCAGCAGTGACATTTCCCCCACTGGGCTTTTAAGGAAGGAGCGCCGGAGACTGCTGGAGATCAAATCAATCCAACATCACATTCCCCCGTTTGCCCAAACAATGACATGCTGCAGCAAGCCTCGTGGCTCCAACACGGGAACTGACAGGAATCACTGCACCGAGGCGGAGAAAAAGAGGAGAGGTGTGAAGCAGAAGCAGCGCCGCGGTGACGGCCTGATTAGCCTATCAACAGCGGGGCCTGTGCCTGCGATCACGTGACCGAAGATGGGGGGGGGGAAAAAGGTGTCAATAACAAATACACCCGACGGGATTACTGGCCATAAAAAAGGGCCGCTTGTAGAAATCCGCACACATGCGTTTCGCCGTGCTGCACACAGCGGGCTGCGCAGCACCGGGTGACTCACCGGCGCGTCCCCGCGACGTCTCAAATCCAGGCCGCGGCTTCCTTCTGACGATCCACGGGCCGCGGCCAACCGAGCAGGCGCGATGGTCCCCAAATAACCAAATAAAGCGGGGGGGTTTCTGTGGTCAGTGGTCGCTCTTCTTCCTCCTCCTCCTCCTAATCGCTCATCCGAGGCAAAATCTGTCCGTAGCTGCTTAGAGAGCGCTGCAAAAGCTTTTACGCGCAAGAGCATCGCCGCGTCAACACAGTCAAGTGCGGGCTGCCTCGTCCACATACACGCGCGCACACACATGCACGCAAACACACGCACGCACGCGGAGCTGGATCCGTGGTGTCATTGCGCCCCCCAGACCTCATACCCCCCACGTGTCAGATCGTTTGAGTCATTGATTCGCCTTTGAGAATTAACAATGAAAATTATTTTTTCTTTTTAAAAATGTAATAATGGAGATCAAGTGGAGCATTTGATGCTGATCGTGCTATTGATCACGAGTATGATGAAGTAATGCACTCTTACTTGTGTTAACCTACATTTTACCCTGCTTGCTGTCACGTGTTAATGTAATATCATTTTGTCTGTGTGAAAATGCGAAACACAACCAACATAGGAAAGCACCATGATATTGTCTTGGGTAGTTTTCTGTTATAATACCCCACTATAAAACTTTCTGTTTAAAGATGTACAAATATAAGTTAGAATTCAAATTGAAGACAAATTCATATTAAGCCAATATTGACATAAATAATCACAAACCCTCGCTCCCATGATTGTCAAAAGATGTCCTTAACCTCTGGATTAATTCATCAAATGTTTTTTCCACTTTTGATATTTCTTCTTTATTTCTCACACAACATCCAACCCAGGTGCACCAGTTGTTCTTTGTCTCTATGCAGCAGGCTAAAAATGTCTTTATTCACTTGCAGTAGATTATCAGATTACAGGGCATAGACACAGAATACTAATGACTAAAAGCAATTCCAGATACAGATGTGAAGAGGGTAACCCTCCAACATCCCTAAAGAAGATAAAGCATAACAGAGAAAAAACTGTGCAAAAGAATGCAGAAACACTACTATTGTTAGTAGCACTTTGTGAACACACTGCCTTCAATGTCTCAAAGCAAAGCGAACGTGGGTTTTCTCCAACTAGGGCAAAACCCCCATTATTAAAGTATCATACAGAATAATATTTAGTGAAGGCATACAATGGAGTTGGTTTGGCACTGATGAGGATGATTTTAAAATATACTTATTGATCTTCAGTCGACATTCCTGATATGTACAGGAATGCATTTGAACTGGTAAAATTGAAAAAAAGTTTCTACACTACGTGCAGTTATTTTTGTTTCAGTAAATGGTGGAAATTGCCCACAAATTCTGTGACTACAGATGATTGATACGGTATCATTTCATCACAGGGACCAAATGGCTTTGGACCAGTTAAACGGGCCAACGTGATGTCAGTTGGGAACACAAACTAGTTCATACAAAGCGCAATTTTACGTATAAAAACAACTATAATGCATTGCTTTTTAATTTTTTTTTAGTTCTTGACCAAATTGTTAATACAAAAGAGAAATCTATCACAATAAGCACTACTGTGTAAAACATATGGAATGAAATGCTTCACAAGTTCCCAGTTTTCATTAATTTAGGTCGGAGCGAAAACAATCTTCTCAGACATTCTCCTCAGCTTTATCCATTTCAAATGGAAAAACTTTCAAAACATTAAAATTAAATAATGAGGCAACTCAGGTGAAGTACTCTCAGCCCTTCAAGTTATGTGATTGTATTTTTTACTTCTCTTTCTGTTTCATCAGTTTATTGCCCGTTCTCGTCTCCGCAAAATCTCGCCCCAAAAAACAATAATAATAAAGATAATGATCTCAAATACAAACTCCCTCTCCTCCATCTCTCAAGTTTTTTCATTCCTTTAATTATCTGTTCCTCCGCCATCCCCCTTCTCTGACTCTCTCCATCCCCCCCCTCCCCCTCGTCTTCACTTTTTGTAGTTGCCAAACTGAATACCCAGACGATTGCCGACACAGCGGAACGTTGCGGGCTGCACCTCCCAGTAGTTGACAGGGTTGGAAAACAAGCTGATGCCGTTATAGAACGTCCTCTTCATCCCGAACCCTCGAGGGCAGAAGTCATCCACGCCCACCTGGTCGATGGCGTTGGAATGGAGGTACACCACCTGCAAAGCGGCAGTGGCGTGAGTCAAGGGTGAGCGGTGCCCGCCGTCAAGCATCTCGCCGTGTGTGTGCGCGCTAGACTCACCTGTAGGTATTTCATATCTGGGAGGCCGCTGGGAACACGGGTCAGGCGGTTGTTGTCCAGGTGCAGCTCTCTCAGACTGGGGAGGAAGGACAGGCTGCCGTTCTCTATGTTACGGATGTGGTTGTATCCAAGGCCCAACCTGAAAAAAGTGAGACAAGGGGAGGGAGGATGTGAAAACCAAAAGGCCACAGCACGGAACATTGAGCTGAACTGTTTTACCGATGTAATCTGGAGTACCTACAAGTTCCCTGATTGGTTTTGTTTGTGTTACAAAACCGGAGGGCAACCATGTAGAGATGAACACCGGCGCTTTCATCCTGTGACTTTTTATTGTCATTTGAATGTAGTTCATGTAATTACCCCTGAGGGGCACTGCTGACTGGGGGTGTTTGTTTTAAGCCCCAGTAAAATAAAAAATATTACAAAATAATCCTTTAAACCAATGTGTGTGGATACCTGTACAGGTTTTTGTAGCGGCTCAGGTCCTCCAGCTCCACAGCCTGGATCTGGTTGTGGTCCAGATGAAGCTCATTAAGACTCTCCGGGAGATCTGAAAGAAAGACACGAGGATACGTGAGGCTCCGCTGGGATTTAAATGTTTCCAGCGGCAGTTCATTCCATTTTTGTATCCTGTTCAGTTTGCTGCATATGTACTTGGTAGAATAGTTTGTTTTTTTCTCGCTGTGAGAAGAGAAAAGGGATAACACTCGTATATTAGTTGAGGAAGAAGCTTCAAATAACAGATTTTATTAGTTTTAAGTAAAAACTGGAAACAGGTGAGGTGGAAATAGCAAACGTGGCTCTGTCCACGGGTTTAAAATTGCTCCACCAAAATTTCTCAAACTCTCAAATGAACGTTATATCTGGTTTATTTAGTATAATCAAAAATGATACAGTAGAAAATAATGTGTGGTTTTACAAGTTCTTCTGGGGGGCTTTTTCTCCTTTGCCAGGTGCCGTGACCTCCCCCATATTCTGTACTAAACAAATGTGGATTTTATTGCATTTAGAATGGACACGCTAGCCTTGCTGCTAAAGTAAGCGGCCCAGGCTCACATTTAGCATATATACAAGAATGGTACCAATAATATAATGAGAATTATTTTCCACGCTGAGCTATTCCTTGTAAAGACATGATGATATGTTAGCATGCTAGCCACACAGATGAATTATTACCTTTTGGCACCCCAGTTAATTTAGACTCAGATATACGCAGATAATTCAGTTTCAGTCCTTTGAAGGCCCCAGGCTCGAATCCGCTGTTTTGGATGGGGTTTGCTCCCATTTCTGCAAAATGAAGGGATTATTTTGGCATGAAATTTAAAAAAAAACTGTCTTTCATTTTCTAACAGTGGCAACGGCAGTGGCGTGCACCACACGGCCTGTTTTTTTTTTTAAGTCATCAGCGTTTCTGACCTATGCAGTTCATGTTCCCCAGTCCTGCAAAGGCCCCAGCAGCCACCTTCCTGATGCGGTTCTCGTGGATCCTAATCTCAACCAGAGAGGCCGGCAAGTTCTGGGGAACTGTGGTCAGTAGATTCTTGGAGAAGTAGAGCTTCTGCATGTTCTTCAGAGGCGCAAATGTTCTGGGGTGGACTTTGGAAATAATGTTATTCCTCAGAGACAGACCCTGGAACAAGAACAGAAACCACGGCGGCCCAATTAAACACTTTAGCACTCAAGACAGTCTTGCAATAATACACAGGATACAGCCAGCCATATGTCTCTACTGAATGTATTTAACGGAATTAAAACAGATCCAGCAGTCGATCTCGCCGTGGCCGGTTGACTCTGTACCTGCGCTGGCTAAAAGATGGAGATATAGGCGAGCAGACCTTAATAGTTATGTTAATGTATGATGTCATACTGCAAATCCAATATTGCTCTCTTGGTCAGCTCTTTTCTAAAAGATGTAAGCTTGAATGTTCTCATTTGGATCCAAGCTGAAACTTAATACTATTAAAGCTCTCAAAGCAAAGGGTGGCGGAGGGCGAAAAAAGGAAAGTAAAAAGGAAATGAACCTCTAAATCCTGAAGAAAACAGAGGATAATTATGATATTTCATACTACTGACGCCAATACAAGCTGAGCTGAGCTGTTTATGCGTCCTTAAGAGGTGCGGATCTAATGCTGAGCGGGATCTTAAGAATCTGACGGGGCTGTGTGTGTGTGTGTGTGTGTGTGTGTGTGTGTGTGTGCCTAATATGCTATATAATATGTCTCTTACATATAAGTGAGTGAGGCCTTTGAAGTCATTCTCTTTAAGCTCCGGGATGCGGTTGTTCTGCAGGTCCAGGAACTTGGTGTCTAGAGGAATATTCTTTGGCACCTCAGTCAGACCTGAAGACGAGACCAACAAAAACACAGAAGGGAATCATGCTCCAATAAATGCTTCCAATGGTGAACCAACACCCTAAAAAAACGGGTTATTTCCAATGGGCAAGTTCTTTGTCGGTTGTAGACCATGGAAAATTATTCGTAACTGTGTGGTTTCTTTTAAACCTCGATCAGTCTAAACATAAACCCAATCACACCACCAAACAATCTCAAATGAGCACTTTGGGCCTCCTCGTCTATTATTTCAATGAGAGGTGGACATACACACAACCATGGAGGTCACAAAGAGGCGTCACGTGCAAAGACATCCCAGATGGGGACAGCAGATGTTTTTCAATCTGGTTTCCATTCAACAGACTTCACAATGGATGCGACCAAAATACAATCAGAAAAATCACACATCCAATTAAAGCGAGACGGCACAACCCTGACACATACACACAGCGGAATACAAGCGATGTGTGTTAATGTGTAAGAAGTCATGTAGAGAAAATGTGCAGCTAACAACACCGTGACAAAAATAGACAGCAAGAGCTGTTAGGGTTGCGAATATTGTTTATCGAGCGATACGTAATAAAGGCCAAGAAAGGGTCACAAAAAGCGGACGGCACGGGCACACCTGTGTCGTTCCTTTCAGGGATCTTTCAGGAGAAGTGACTCAGCGAACCAGTGATCATTAACTAGCCCACATCACAGAGGGCGCGTGGACGAGTGCATCAGATGTGGTCAGTGGCGCAGACAGGCCACTGCAAGCGAATCCCCACCAAGGCCAAACCTATCTGGAAAAGAACCACAGAGGCAACCAGACCCGCTGGTGAGAGAGGACGCCATCGGTCCCACTGGGACTCAGCTTGACACCAACCACATCTGTCCCGCAGGACTCTACCCGGAGCTGTCCATCCAGAGCTAAGTTTAGACATTTGGCTCGGCTGAACCGGGCCGCACCCTCCATGTCACCACACAGGATCAAACCCTCAGCAGTGCCTTCGACTTTCGCAACACACCACGTCCGCACAGCACCGAGAGATCCAGTGGACCGGGTGAGGAGGCTTCCCGGGTTTTGTTAAATGAAATAATATAAATAGGTTTTAATCCAATTATTAACTCAGTTTCTACAATTGTATTGAGTGTAAAGTTCTTAGAGAGCAGGATTTATGTGGTACAAAATATTTATTTACCAGCCGACACCTGCGGCTTTCAGCACGCCTCCAAATGTATTTGTCTATACCAAACATACCATAAATGCTAAACATACCTGAAAAAAACATTCACCCACTCCGATTAACCGAATTCTTTCAACCCTCTAAACCTCAAACCCCAGCGCGTCACCCGTATCTGCTACAAATCTCAAAGCCCTGACCACAAACTGACAAAACTAGCACCTCTTAAACCCCGGCGTCCCTCTGAACAAATTCCCAACATCATGCTGGGATGCACAGCGAGGGGAGACAGACGCCAGCGCCAAAATACATCTGTTCTAAATAAGCACTTGACATCTCGGAAATTATATGCTTCCACATTTACCCGCAGCAGAGAGAGACCAGGGACAGTAAATATACAGAGCTTGTAGAATGACGATCCGACAAAACCATTATGTCTGAACGCAGACAGCTTATTAGAGTTTTATACGTAGGCAGTGCAATGTGAGGAATCTTTATATCCGTAAATAAGACTTAGATTTATTTGGGCTGTGGATAGACAGAGGAAGGATAAATAGCGTGCACTTATATTAACCACAGACAGGAAATTATATCATATGCTTGAATGGAAACATGACTCAAATAGTCACAGACAAACTTCAAAAGCATCTTAAAAATCCTATTTTGAAGAAGATGCATTCTGAGGCAGAAGACAGAGCTTTCTAGTGGAACTAATACATGCAAATATTAACATCCGGATCCTGACATTCTTCTTCCATCCTTAAACCCCTTTAAAAACAACTCAATATTGCCTTCATCCTCCTCACCTGTTTACATTAAGCATCCCGTCTACACGAAACAGCTTCTTAAATACAGATGGGGGATTGTAACCTTTTATCTCCTCCGATCCTGTTTTTGTCTTTCTGTTTGCCTTCCTCCTTCAATCTTTTCATCACTTTCCATCTTTGGGATTTTCACTTCCTTCCTTCATCCCTGTGACTCTCCTTTTCTCCCACCCAATATCTATAAACAATGTCTGTGACCTAAATTCCCACAAAGACATCCAGGGAAAGAAATGTCTCTCTGAGACAATACACCAAGGAGGGACTTTACTGTGAAAGTCCTCCAAGGCTTGAGTCATGCTCCCTCTGTCTGCATAACAATTCAACTCTTTTGCTGTCTGAACCTCGGGACACACAAATATACGTACATAGAAATACTTAGAAACGATGACAAAGCATAGCAGGCGTGTATCTCTCTCTCTCTCTCTCTCAGGCTCTCTGTGTCACACACATAAACACACAAACACACAAACACATACACACACACAGACACTCTCACTGACCGAGGTCAGAACACTGGACGACCCTGAGCCGGCATTGGCAGCCGAAGGGGCACATGGGTATGTGATGAGGGGGAATCTCTTCTACACCCGAGCCTTCTTCCTCATCCCTCATCATCGTCGTCATCCCGCCGCTGTCCATGCTGTCCATGTTGTCCATGTTGTCCATGGCAAAATCCCAGAAGCCTCTCTGCTCGAAGGGCAGGGCGGAGGAGGTGGAGATCAGCCGAGCCACACACAGCATTAGCAGGAGGGAGCCACATGGTAACATCTTTAACTTACACACCTGAGGAGACACAAGAAGGAGCAGTATCAGTTTTCTTGTACATTTGTGTAAACCCAATTACCGGTTTAATGTTAAATTAAGAAATGCATACGGCCTCACACTAAACCCAACAATCATGAAGGTTAAATGTGTTTGTTAAAACTGTTTTATAGAGGTATTCAATCAGCTCTGTTCTCATAGGCTTCTGTTGAATTACTCATCATTAATTCAAAGGTATTTTGTCCACTCCATCCAAATACATGGGAGCGTAGACGGTGAAAGCAAACAAGTGTATTGCCAAGGCTGCGCAGCCCTCAGACAAGGCCCCAGGCCTCCAGGAGCCTTGTCCTCCAGGGGCCCCAAGCGTGTGTTTTACTTGCAGCGTGTGGGCAACAGTCCATCAAACCACACAGAGATTAGGAAGCGGTGTGTGCTTGTGCAGAACCGGGGCTCCCTGGCAGGTTAATGCTGCCATGTGGACAAAGGCTTCAAAGTCATAGCTAAAGATATTGGTCAGCAACAAAAGGACATTGAAAATGTTATGAAATGGTCTGCCTATTCCTAATTATAAAGCCCTTATAAAACTGTTTATAGCACGTAACAGGCCACCAGGGGCGGGAGTCTGGTGAGGTGAAATGGACTCATTCCCCTGGCGAAACCTGCCAGGAGTCACTTAGACCACACCGACAAAATGTCACTGTCTGCTTCCCGCACACAAAGTTCTCATCGGATAGTGTGGAGGACATCGCCTCAGGGCTGGAAAACTGTATCCCCGCAACCGAGCGGTCAAACAAAGCCACCGTTCATTTAGAAGGGAAACTGGGTGTGAGAACGTCTGTGTGCATGCACATGTGTTGTGAGTGTGTACGCATGCTATGAAACACAGACTCATGATGTCATAGTTGGGCACACACACACACACACACACAGACACTGCTGATTGAGGTCGCTCGACGCGTGAGCATGTGTGTGTGTCTCTGTTTTTTTTTGTTGCAAGCTTTATCCTGCCCGCTTTGACCTCACTAACACCTCAGCGCAGCCTCCTCATTCGGCTCAACCTAAAATCTCATTTCTAGAAAATGAAATGACCACCTGGCCAATTAATCCTTACAGCGGGAAATCGTGACTCTTGACCTGAGGTTAATCCTACGCAGTGATTCCCGTTCCTATACTGGACGCTGGAGTGACTTAAAACCATATAATCTATGACCTCGTCGTGTTAATTCCCTTCTTTGATCCTGCTTCCTAATCCCACAGACGGCCGCGGGGTAATGATGAACGGTTAGCGTTCAATCGTGTAGCAACATGATCGCGATTTCTTCAGAACCAAAAGGAGAGCACATTTTGGCATTCAACATGATCAGACACACGGGACGGGAGGAATTAAAAAAACAATGGAATTCACCCTCAATAATACAAAGTTTGTACTGCACTTAACTGGCCAGAACAAATGGAAATTGCATAAATATTGTCTCTTTGTGTTTCAATTACTTGTGTGAAACCTATACTTGCTTGATGTTAGTCCGGCCCTTTTAACCAAATTTCCCTGGAAGTTCTGACTGCTCACAAGACTTTGAAAGGCCTATGAGGGAGAGATTAAAATAATAAATCTCATGAGCGGGTTTCACGGGATTTTGTTATGTTCGGGAAGTGCTTCTCATTCCACGCTTCTTGAAAAAAAGTTCTCTAGACTGATACTTATCATTTCAATTACAAAAGTAGACCCTGACCAAAAAATTCATTCAACTTCATCACTTACTCACTATTCATAACCGGTGCATTCAAAAATGAATAGTAAAGTTGCTAATGCAATTCACTGCAATTCTAGAGTGCTTTAGTGTAACTGAGGGACATTAAAATCCGTAAAAAACTAAGAGTCTGTGCATGAAGTGGACCTGGCCTGCACGCATGAATAACTGGCCCCTGCAGTCTGCTCCCTGCAATAAAAATAGCGGCCAAATTATACCATTTTAAAGAAAAGAAAAGCACCACTGGCCTTGTCTTGGCTAGAAGAATGCAGGAAAAAAAGGACATGGTGGGGACATACATAGTCAGCATCACACAATGACACGTATCAAAAAAAAGAGCTGTAACATTGAAAACAACAGACTATTCCCCTAGGATTTCTGCAGCCACATCATGAGAGGCATTGATCTGAAAAGGGCCCCCATTGCTCTAATCTGCATGCAATGATTTGTCAGCCATATATAGAGATGTGGAAGGAGGTGAAGATAGAGATGTTGAGGATGATGGCAAGGTAGACATGCACGTAAATAGTCAGTAATCATCCAGGAACGACGTCTAAGGCTAAGGGCATAACGGCAAGACTAAACTACATCCCACAACCAAGCCGCCTCTCTGACTGTAATGACCACTCTTATCTGGCCCTGGTGTGTGTGCGTGAATTAACAAATTCCTCTCATCTGCCTTCAGTTAAGTTGTGAGACGCCAAACATCCGGTCCCAGACGAAAACAAACCAAAGGCTCCAATCTTAATTGTTCTACTCCAATCCAAAGGCCAAAATTGGTTTAATGGATGGATGTGTCGCTGGCTATTCTTGTCCTTGTGGTGCTGTGGAACTGAAGGAGGTTCAGGAGGGGTCAGACGAGAGGAAATGGAAAGGAAAGAAATGAGAGTAAGAGGATCATTATGAGGCCGACAGAGGAGGTGGAAGTTGTGTGTTGGCTGTGACGAGAAGGAGAATTAAGCTGCGGATACAGAAAGGTGTTTAATCAACACTTTGAATCAGTAATGGCCACTGGTGTAAATAAAGTTAATTGGGTTTGAGATATGGCTCAGTTGGAATTGATAGGAATTGTTCTATAACACCTTTGGCTTGGAACGCCAACTGCAAGCCAGGCATCACCACTCGTCTTGTATCTTGTCATGGTCCTCCTCAGGAGATTGAATGCACATGAATTCATTACCCACACTTATTAAATAGATGTTCAACTACCACATGTTGACAACTTCTTGTTTCTTCAAAGGAAGGAAGATCCCTATCGGTGCCAAATGTGTGCTCAGAACCACACACACACACACCCATAATATGACCGAGGCTGTCATAACACGCCACAGAAAGACTTTAATTAAGATTTGAATTCCACTGGTTTACTCTCGGCTTTGAAAAGGTGAAACAGAGTCAAGAGCAGCAAAAGTGGGTATTCAGGGGCGGATGCGTGAGATGGTGGAGGCTGACGGACCGAACAAAGCACTGGTGATGGTGACAGCACCATCTGGTGAACAATCAAACCCTACAAGTGCAAGCGTTGTTTGAGTTTCCCACACCCGGCGTTTGGGATTATCTTTACATTTCCTATACGCGTCATCCATCAAGTGCTCGCTACGTGTCAGCGCTCACATCCACCGCAATTACTTTGATGTTTCTAGAGTTCCCACAAGGCAGCCTTTGCCCTTGTCAAGCAAAACAAACGTATATTTAAGATGAATGCTCTTTGTGTTGCCAAGAACAATCATACCAAGATGCAACAGGCAGTATTTGGTCTCCCATGACTGCGGGCCACAGAAAGGCACCCACCCTGTCGTAGGCCCACCCCTCATATCGTTTGACTCATAGAATCAGCTGCTACCTTCCATTCATGGACGAAAAATTCATTTGTTATGCATTAAATGTAAAACGCTGGCTCATTCTGTCTGATTATTCATATTCAGGAGCACCTCGGCTCTGCTCTTTGGACCGCGTTGGCAGGGGAGAGTTAAGGTGGGGCAGAGAGCTCACCAAAAGTGCCAGATGGCACAACCACTCTGGAGTATTGGCAGCCGCCACGTCAACACTTACTGCCGCTTAACATTACGGGGCGGTTCAAAGTGATCACAATGCTGACTGAGCACTCGTAACGTGTATAAAATTGAATTTTGGCTGGAAAAGTCCAAACCGTTCTGAACAGAACACAAGCTGCAATAAACTCTGGCACTTTTTTTTGGAAGTAAAACTAGCAAACATGTTGGAATGCAAGCTGTCCAAAAAACTGAACCGTTAATTTGACTGAACTCCCTCACGTCCTTATGCCATGTCCCCTCCAGTCCTCCCATGTGACACACACAGACAAGCAGTCACACTCTCTCACACACACACACACACACACACACACACACACACACACACCCTAAATTCATGTGCACTTGAGACACACAGGCTGCGCTAGGCGTGTCCGGTAGGAGCGTTCGGGTGAGGTTAACTGCCTCAGTGGCTGTAATTTGGTGGCTGCAGTCCCTAAAAAAAGGAACTGGTTGGCAGATTATCTGATGCTGCCAAGCGTGCATGTGGTGGCGAGCAGCTCAATCCTGGGACGAGGCCCGACCAGAGCAGAGAGCAAAGGACAGGCAGAAGAACAAATCAGCAAACTGACCCGAGGATCCATGCGTGGCACATGAGTCTCTTTCTTTCGCTTAAATTTAAAATAATAAGGGGAAAGATCAAGCTACATGGGAAGGCTGAGTTCGCAGTTTGATCAAATTGTGGTGAGAGACACTGAACACACTGGAAAGGAGAATCTGGACGCAGATGAACCAGCAGGTGCAGTGTGGTCAACGCACACTCCGGCTAATAGGCAGGTGGGCTTCTAAGGTCAGGAAACACACCGATGTAGACCATCATTTTACCTGTCTGACACGGTTTGCTCTGTCTCCTTACAGGAGACTCCATTGAATACACTGGTACGAGTCAATGTTTCGTGGTGGTTAACCACTGGTGGGCCTGAAGTCCATAATGAGGCCACGGGGGAGTTCCTTAAAGTTGGATTCGCATAACGCGAGTTCATCAGACCACAGTGCTGCTGTGAGTGCAGAGGCCAACCGAGGGCAGCGCACATGCGCGTGAGAAAGACTCGATTGGCACGTTCCACTATCATTATTCTCCCTTTTATCTGGAATGCCACGTGTTACTTTTAAAGTGCGATGGGAGAAAAGGCCCACGTTGTTTTGTGGATAGAGTGAGTGAAGGGAGATTTTCGCTCAGTCATCATCATTAATGGTCGCTCGTGCTTGGCCCTTGGAGCCTCGTTGCTCCATCTAGTGTTACTCCCGAGAAAAACTACAGCATGCACCGTGCAACAGGTTACAGTCAAGGATACGGATAATAATTGAAGTGTTATAGACATAAATTAATAAAAACAGTTGCAGTTTGAGGTGCAAACTTTATAATAGTTGGTGGGATAAATCTAACAAGCCATTTGAACATGTTAGGTGTAGCAGTAAGGTTCAAAGCCAATCTAATTCAAACTACATTGTTATTATTGAATTCCTTATTGGCATAGTAAAAGGTATATCATTAATAATATTATAAAAATCCGCTTTTCATATATTATAAAAAGTTTCCCTCTTTCCATTTACAAAACTGAAAGGCACGTCAAACAAAAGTAACACATCACCCCTACCTTGATGGATATAAATAAGATATTAGTTCCAAATTCCCAAAGAGGATGAATGTTTCCTCCCTGCGTTTATCCTGGAGATTTTTTTCAAGTCCTATATCGCAATCACATTTACGGATTATTGCAGTAGTTCCTCGTGACATCCACCCGCAGCTCCTCCGCCACTGTGAGCCACTGCGAACCGAGTCCGGGTACCGTGTGTTCGAGTCCCAGGCCAAACCGAGCAAATGACTCAGAACTGAGGGGAGTTGGGAGGGGGGGGTCAAGCCCATAAAGTTAACAAGCCAGCCTCTTTTCTTCCCCCTTTGGATGGAAGACGAGAAGGAAGGGGGAGAGGCCTGAGTGCAGAGAGAGACATCGTGCAAAAATCATCGACAACTTCACAATGTTGTGGTAATGGCATTGAAATATAATGGAGATAATAACACAACATATACACAATATGTAGCCCCCTCATATTGAGGGGTGTTCATGTTACATCTCCTAAAAACCATTAGGACACTATGTGTGTGGGTCTGTGTGTGTTTCTATGAAGAAAAAGAAAGGGAAGGAGACGGTGCACTGTATATGAACTTTGTATCTAGGGGTATAATTGTCCAGTTGAATCGCTTTTGAAGAAAACAAAATTAAAGGCATCGTAGCGTCGGCAGTGCCAATCACAACACAAGCTAAAGCTTTGTCTGAAAATTATCAGACAGAACTTCCCTACAGGAGCATTACAGGAAACCTCCGTAAGCAGTTATTGTTTCTCCTATAATAACATCTCACAGAGAGCAACACAATCTGTCTTTATGCAGCTGTATTAAACCGGTTCCATCAATCTCTCCGTTTTTCCATCTGTCTATTGAGTCGACGTGGCACTGGGAACCGCAAGGTTGGTGGTTTGAAGCCCCGGCTGCTCCATGTCCCATGTCAAAGGGTTAAGTGACACCTAACCCCTAATTGCTCCCTGGGCAAAAATGTAAAAAAGAAGCCATGGGTTGAAAATGTAATGTAAGTCGGAGTTGGATAAAAGCGTCAGCTAAATGACCTGTAATGTGACGGTGTATTCTTCATGTTCGCTGGGTCTTAGTTTTTTCTGTCTTTATTTTAAATCAACCACTAGTTGCATTACACTATATTGACACTATCAACTTAAACAAGTCATGCAAAAAACTATTTTTAATTCTGTGACTATGATTATAAATCTCTTCTCATGGTTTTTCTATTATTATTTTTTTGCCAGTGTTCTTTCTCACTGACTGATTTGACTGACTGTCTCATTTCCTTTTTGTATCGGCGGGATCCAGTGCGAGGAAGTGAGTTCAGCAAGCCACACCATCTGGGAACTTTTCCCCCCCTACAGTCGACCACACAGGCATTATTTATCTAGTTATCCCTGAGCTCTGCTGTTTTCAGGACTTTCCGAATCAATCCTCATCCTCCATATCAATACAAGAGGGAACTCACCATCATGCTCGTATTTTTGTTCCCTTGTATCCTCTTTCCCTCATAGAGTGAAGTATCTACAGTGGTGGAAAAAGTATTCATACCAGATCAATGCCCTGCCCTGGTGTTGGCAGGAGACCGTGTTTTGATAAAGGCAGATACAGATAACACGCCTCCTCTCTTTGCTTCCTCTGCACCTCCCAATGTAGGTTTACGGCTTTCCCTCCATTTCCCACTCCTCGTTTCTCTGTCTGCCTGCCTCTCTTTCTCTCTCTGCGCTGTGGTTCACTTGATTACGGTGTTGGTCTGCAGCTTAAGGGCTTGGCATCCAAATTAAACTCTTTTTATCCAACTATTGCTCAGCTAACGTGTCTGCAGCACACCCACTTGTTAGGTCTTGGGAAGGCGCTACCATCCGAGCGAGCATCTGTAACTTATTTGTTTGCGAGAGAGAGAAGTGAATGGTATTGATCAAGTGTCAAAGATGTTTCTTGATTTGGATGAAGCAAAAAGTGGACTTTGTAATTTGTTAACGGGGGTGATGGCCGAGGGGTCAGTCAGCTCCTGCGCTGCAAAAAAGCACATGTAAGCAAAGTTGACCCCTTAACTCTGGAACCCAATCTCATGTTCTGACTCCATCGCTCTCCTTCCCTTCGCGTGTCCTCTAAATGCCTCGTGCTCATCCGAGTCCTCAAACAGAATTATTTTGCTGGGCTTCTCTGTGTGTTGTGTTTTATCTGCAAGACCCCCCACACGCACACCCCCCCATCTCCCCCCGACAACAAACACAGGAAGTTGCTGTTGCTGGGTTAAGGAGAGAAAAAAAAGCTCTACGCTTCTCAATGCTCAGCTTGCTTATCAAACAAGCTCCGGCCTCAGCTGGACCTGATGAAAACCATCTGTTGGGTTTAGAGTTTAGTTATGTCCCTCGAAGGACGATGGACGGCAATGAAGTGGCAAGCCTCAAATGTGTCACAAGCTTAGGATTTAATATCAAAGCAGGAGCATCCATGTGTACTAAACTACAAAGAAGGGAAACTGAAAAAAAGTTCTGATATGTGACTTTTCTGCCTGTACGTGCAGGAGCTGCAGTATAAATGTGAAGGTGTAGTTTCTTAGACAGTAATGTGCTGTTGGAAAAAATAACTGTACAATTACGGAGAATGGAGACTGCACCACATGCACAAGACCAAAAGCAGAAATCTAACATGTGATTACACGCCCAGGCTGAGAGAGCAAAATGTAAATATGTCCACGTGTGAGTGTGTTTTTTGTGGAGATGTGTGTGTGTGTGTGTGTGTGTGTGTGTGTGTGTGTGTGTGCATTCATATTACACGTTCAAACCATGAACGTGCATGCAAAGTGCTCTCATAACCTCGTTAACGTTGCTAGTTGTTTGCCTCACAATACCCCAGCTTCATTTTCTCCGCCTCCCTCTGAGCGTGTTGTAAACCGTAGTCTGCAGGGGACCTTCGGTTCCTCATTTGAAGCAGAAGAATCGCTGCGCTCTGTTGAAACCTCATACTTGGGTAAACGCAGCAAGCGCACCGTCTTTAAATTACAACAGTGAGCACAACTCAACATTTCAGAATTTTAATTACATGCATTGCTGCAAGGGATATAATGCAAAGTGTTTTGGGTCCTTTCAAGGGTGGATCGAATTAGAAAACTGCTGCAATTCCATCAGCCCTCAAATCATATTTAATTTGTTTTTGTGTGAGTGAGACTGCAAATACGTTCTGCTTTCATGTGTGTTGCATCAGGATTTGGTGTAGAGAAACTGACAATGTTGTAATAAGTTGAGGAGTCTCACTTCTATGAGTTTTTGTTAATAATACAGAGGAATACATTTGTTGTTCCAGTGAAAACAACAGATGCAACTGGGTTCGGGCTTTTTGTTATGTTCTCACCAAGATCGTGTCCAGGGGATCTGACACAGAAAGCTTGTGGGCAAGGCCGTCATTCACTTCATACTTCCATCAAAGCGATCAAAGTCCCGAGAGATCGTAGACGCTGTTGAGACGGAAGAATGCTGCATTGTCGGCCACAGAATACAGGAGGTATAGCTACAGTTGTAGTGGAAGATAGTCAGAAAGAGAAAGACGCCACGAGTTTCAGAGGCTTTAGTTCAGTTTGTTTGTGCTCCGTCTCTTCGTCTCTTTTCCTTTTGGTCTTCTAATCTTATTGTAATCAGTGGGAGATGAACTGCTGCTTTTCTCATCCTTCACTTCTGTGAGAACAATCGCTGCATTGTACCTTGAAAGTCAGCTTAGCTCCAGCAACCGTATATGTTTTGCTGTCTCTCCTCCTTACAGTTACTTGCACACATATACTTGCACCCCAATTACTGAACACATTCTGACAGTAACTTACGCAATTCATACACGTCTGGAGGCCCAGACTAAACCCCCCCGCCTCCCCTCTCACCGTTGGATCGTGTCTATTTGATTTGCTTAGCAGTTGGTGGTGGACGTTTATGTTGGAAGTCCTCTGGTGATGGGGAACATGCATAATGTTTATATTTTCTTTCCGAACAGGCCCCTTGGGTTCACACTGTGTCACCAGACATTTTTACAGAAACCCCCATGCTGCAGTCTCAAGGATTGAATGCATGGTGACCAGCCGGGTATTCCTGTCACATCCAAACAACTAGTATATTTCCATTTGAAATGACTGAAGGCTCTATGCACAAGCCCCAGACGTAGTCTAGAGACAATTTAATCCAGTTCCGTCTTCATTCTCTCAAAGGTATCAATTAAATACTTTATACTTTAATGAAAGTGTGCTTTGACCAGATTTGGATTCCTCCACACGGTACTTTCCAGTTATACTTCCAAGAGTATTTTACATAATGATTATTTCCACAACTGTGTAAATTACAGATTTTCTTTTGTACATAAAAAAACATTACTGTCATTTTCCCAATAGAAGGTGAGATGTGACAGAAAAACCCGACTTTGGGGATGGTAACCTGAGTGACTAAGCAAACTATTATAATGCCATTTGTCTGTAAACCATGTATCAAAAACAAGATAACAGAAAGTGTTGGTTAGCTGTACGGCACAATGCATATATTGTGGGTACATGTATCTGTCCGTGCAAGTCTTTCCCCCTCTGTGGTCTACTGGTCATGTGAGAGCCTCTGTTGTGGATAGAGGATCAGTCCCTGAGCATCAGTGAGACAGGAAAAGGCCTTTGGGGGAATCCGTTCCACGTCCAGCAGATTATTTTCCAAGTGGATCGAAGCCAAGGAGGAGCCAGAACTACGAGGGTGGCAAACTCCCCACTGCCTCACCAGCCTGCAAGCACAAGATACGCACACGTCCATTTAGAAATACTACATATCCAGTTACTGATATGTTGCCTTCCCCAAATATCCAAAAGGTTGATATGATTAAAACTGATGGAGAGCAAGATGTTCCCAGCGTGTTTGGCGTTCCAACACTTTACTGGGTTTCCCATCTGAATACAATGGAATGAAATGAAACTGTGTTAAAAATGTATGTAAAGTGTGATTCTACCTGATCTGGTTGTGGTCCAGTCTCAACACCTGCAGGTTCTTGAACTGTTGAATGCAGCGAGGGACCTCACCAAGACGGTTGTTGTCCAATAGGAGCTCACCCAGTGAGCGGTATGTTCCAACAAAAGAGACTCGCTCCATTCCCTCATCGCTCAAGGCGTTGTGGGATAGACGGAGGGACTGTAGGCTGGACCGCATGTGACGGAAGGTGAAGGCGGCAATGTGACTGATGTGGTTGTGTTGGAGGCTCAGTTTATTTAAGCGACGAGGCAAATGCATTGGAACGGAGGTGAACTTGTTGTAGGACAGGTCCAAGGCCTCCAGGGACCTGAGAAGACACAAAAGAATCATGACCCCCAACTGATAGATCTACAAGAAGACCTCTAAATAAAAGTTTTTTCAAAAGTTGTGCATTGATTTTTTTTGTCTCAACAACTATTGGATGTGGTTGCGCCTCTCAAGATGAAGAGTAAGGCAAAGCTGCAGGGAAATCATGGGAGAAGCAGGCGGGTGGGGGGGGTAATGGTTCCTAACGGGGGGGGTTTCAGGGCTCTGAGCCAAAGATGCCTGGTTGTGAAATTGTTAGATCCAACACAGGTGTTTGGAGTTTTCCAGGGCGGTCGCAGCAGGAGAGGAACCTCATTTCCTTTCCATTCATTTCAATCCACAGACCCCACTGAAAAGCCAGTGGGCGCCCTGAGGTGGCCAGCCAGTTACCACAATTGGGACCAAAGAGGAGAAAGAGAGTGAAGGGTTATGAATGGAGGAGACGTTTGGACTGACATCCAAATCAATGTCTGACTGATAATTGGTCATCAATCCAAAAAATGTCTCTGTTGAGTGCTTCCAAACATTTGTCAGCTTCATAGTAAAGTTCATTGTCAGCACGAGGCCCTGTTTGGTTGAACAAAAGCTTTAGGAAATCTGACGTAGGTTAAATACCTATCTGTTTAACACAGGTGTAATAAAACATCACACTAATATAACAATAAATCTTTTAATAAAAATAAAGTTAAGAGCGGAGAGCGAGCAGAATGACACATTTAAGTCAAAACACACAAACGAGCCAGGCAAGCGTTTTGGTTTTGACAGTGTAATATTTCTGAGAAAATAAATGTTCTGCTTAAAATTGGAACGTGTAAATAAATTATTCCAACTTCCAGTTCTAACCAGTTGTGTGCTTATTTTTATTTTAAATCTTTGCCAGGAAGCTCAACGGCAGTCCACAGATGCTGAGAGCTCCACATGGTATTAATGAGCAGGGGGACACACAATCCTCTCTTCTCAGCCCTCCACACTCCCACCAAATGACACACACACACAATCTCACACCACCATGTGCAACATAAACGTGCATGCTCACAGACACAGATAACTGCAGACAACTTAATTAATTAAACAGAAAAATATGAATTTGAAAATAGACACTTTGCACATTGTGATCAATCTGATGGCCACACACGTGCACTCTTATTCCGAGATCACTTAATTAATAAAACATTTGATGGGAGGAAAAACAAAATATTCCTCTTTTTGTGCAAAGCACTGCCAGGAGCAATCGGATCACAGTGCCATCTGGGACGAGTCCCCCCTCCCCAGGCCCACATTAGACAAGTTGGCTTACACACTTTGGCAACATAGCCAGGATAAGAAAGGAAAGGAAGCCAGGATAGGAAAGGAAAGGTAGCCAGGCAGAGGGGCTCTGCCTGGAATGATGGATGGATGACAACGAAACCGTCTTCAGCCACATCATTAGCATTCAGAGCCATTTGTCATATCTGTTATTGTGTCTAAGGAGGAAAGATGCTGATTAGGCTAGTGGGGAGAGGCAAATGGAAACATACAGAAGAAAACCAACTAAAGACAGATCTCAAATAAGTTTACCGAGTGCAAAGGGGGGGTATCTGGGACCCAGTCGGTTTGAGACAAATCCCAGTAGTAAATACCCTCCCCACCTCCTTGTAACCTTCACTGGTGCTTAATATTCACAGGCCCAGCAGGAGGCAGCAGAACAGACTGCATGACACGGAACAGAGGCTGTGCACTAACCAGAACCAGCACACAGCAGTTTACTTTACCAGTAAGCAATTTACTTTTCACTCTATCATCCCATGCTGTATATACTGTATTGATTATTCACAGCGTTCCACAGAGCTACATGATGGAATACTCCGCACCGCAATTACTTAAGTGTGGATTTAATTATTTGAAGAATTATTATCAAAGGTCTGCAGAATAAAATGTAATCCAACAGGAGGGAGGAGTCTTGTTTTACAGCTATATGCCCTTTTGGGTCTCAGCTCCTGCTTTGGAAGCAGAGTTCAGGTCGAGTTGAATTTGTTCCCACCCTGTAGTCCATGGCGTGCTGAGGGAAGCTGTTAACGGGGAGGGCCAGCTAATAAGCCAGCAGTGCCGATGGGAAGGCCGCCGCTGTCACCACTAATGAGGTCAAGTGTCAAACAGATTCTAGTCAGAAGTCAAGCGGCAGCTCGGAGCGCTGCGTAGCTCCATTTTAACTTCACAACGTCTCTCTGTGCCTCCTTTGCCACATTACAGTTTACTTTTTGGATTAACATCCAATTCATTTCTGCAGTTCAATTTCCCCTGAATTGTTTTTCCCAATTTCAGGTTTCCTTGTTCACACATTCACAACCAGTGAAATAGTGCAACACCGATTTTTGTACAATTGCACTGTTTTTTCTCAGGAATTTCTTTTCCTCAGTTTTCCCGGAGGCTCCCACTGCGGTTCACAAGGAACCCAGGGAGCAAATAAAAAAACACCACTGGAAGTCATTGTTATCATTATATCATTATCATATATCATCATTACATTCTTTTTTTAAACAGCAGCACGTGGAAGACACACATTCAGACAAGCGAACACAAACACAGACAGATTCAGGCAAGCAGTTAGCCTCAAGCGCTCCCTCCCACTCGCTCTCCTTTAAGGACTGTAGGTCAGCCGTCTCAACTTCTGATGCGGGTGGGGGAGGGGCGGTTGAAGAAAGAAGGTAAATTGGATCATACCCAATATCAGCCACAGGTAATGATAAAGTGACAGCTCTTTGAAGCAAAGCACTGATTTGTGTTGAGAACCTCAAACGACACCAGTCTACACTCTTGTGTCTGATGGAGGAACTGCAGATCAGAATGATTTGAAATCACTTAATGTGGCTGGATGGATGGATGGAGGGACGTACTTGAGATGGGTCCAGGCGTAGGTAGCAATGCCCTGCTCATGCAGCAGGTTGTGACTCAGGCGCAGCACCTTCAAATGGACGTGCCCCCTCAGTGCCTCCTCTGTTACCTCTTTCATCAGATTTCCATTCATCTGTAGCTCCTACATCAAAACGGAAAGACAGATAGAAAGATACGCGTGCATGTTTGTCTCGTGATAGACCCTGAGTACTGTTCTAAATCCCAGCTGCCTCCTGTAGATATGAGAATTCTCATAAAGTGATACCAGCGCACCTGAAGAGAGGGGGGGAGGCCCAGTGGGAGGGAACGAAAGCTGCTGTTGTCCATCCGAAGGTGAAGAAGTCGCTCCAGCGGTCTGAAGGCGAGAGGTGACACACTGTCCTCGTGGAGAGTGTTTTCCCCAAGCTCAAGATTCAGCAGGTTCATCAAACCTAAATGGGGAGTATTGGATTGGCATTATTTTCCATGCGATACATTTCTCGTCCATGTCCACAGACGCGTCTCCTACCTTTGAAACAGCGAGGGCCGAGTTCGCTGAGGTTGTTTTTGTTCATCTTGAGCTCCTCCAGAGACGGCAGCAGTGCCGGGATGCGGGTGAGCTGGTTGCCGTCAAGGTTCAGCTTCTTCAGAAAGGTCAAGTTCTGGAGGACACGCCGCGAAAAGAAGGGTGAACAGGCCAGAAAGATAAAAGACTAAATTATATTTCATAATACATAATTTAATCCATCGCAACTTGCCAAGATTTTCACAATCATAGAGTACACAGAAATACTCCAAATCTCTGCAACTCCTCCATGTCATCTACGATGGTGTATTTTTAGAAAACGCACTCTCAGTGGCTCTTCACTTTGAGCACATTGTGGTGGATCTGTGTCAATTAAAAGCAGAGGAATGAATCTTTTGGAGGATTCTTCAACCCGGTTCATCAGTCCTCTTTCATTACCGGGATATGAGCAGAAAATGACACAAAACAAAAAAAGAAGAAGAAGAAAAAAAAAACCTCCGCCTAAAATAATTTGCTTTTATCTTCCACATCATTGGCTGCAGCTGTTTTCCAACAGCTCTGTCCAGCCAATGCTGGGAGAGTATGCCAGTGGTGGAGGGTAATGGTTGGTCAGAACGTGGCAGGCTGCCTCAGCGTGGTTAAAGCTCTGAGTTTGGCCTGTGGTCCATTTAGAGGTTAGACCGGGGGGGTTATTCTTAGAAAAGATTAGTTAATGCAACTCCCAGTGCTCTTTTATTACTGTAATGACACAGGATACAGCCTGCGCTTTCATTTTAATTGGATGCTGTGTGTGTTATAAAACTCATTGACATTCAGCGCGCTGCATTTTCTCCGCAAGAGAGGCGCTCTTTAAGAGAGCAGCTAATTATGCAAACAGTGCTAAGGGAACAGTGTTTACTTGAGGGGGGGGGGGGCGGAGGATGGGGGGCCTCGGGTTCCACGACGACGGCGCCGCCGCCTGTGTGCATGACAGCGTTATCCGCTGTGACGGCCGCGTGACACCAGTGCAGAGTGGCGGGCCTCAGCTAATTTATTATATAACACGACACTAACAATAGAATATCAAATCAATTCATAGCTCCAAAAACACTAATGTAAGGTGTTTTTTAATGTACATTTTATCATTGTATCTTGGGATAACACGTAGCTTTTTCAGGCACTTGACCATCAGGCAAAAGGGAAAGTGTTAAAGTTTTGCCTCCGTCTCTCCTCTAGTGTCTTTTGGACAAATATATTCATTCAAAACCAAACAAATGGCAGTTGTGACACTCCCTCGGCCGTAGGTAGAGCCGGCTGGACTCGTCTTTCTGGTCTGAAAAGGCGGGTTTGTTTCTCCGCTGTTAGATTTCATTTGAACGGTCTGGGTTTTGACTGCATCACATCAGTCAATCGGCATCACGCAGAAACGTTGTAATGTGGCAGATGAGGCAGCTCATCAGGCTGAACCGAGGAGAGGTGGTGCTCACCGACAGGGGGCCGTGGCTGAATGACTCATCGTCGAGTTTGTTTCCGCTCAGGTCCAGTGTGTCCAGGTTTGGCACACCAGAGAAATCTTGTGGACTGATGATCCTGATGTGGTTCTCTTTGAAGATAAATCACATGGTATGAACCAATGGTATAGTTGTATGCATACATCATATCATCAGGGAAATCACATGACTTCACGGGTTATGTAATGTTGTTCTCCACTGGAACTTTTGTTTGGATTTAAACATAATCAGTTGATGAACTTAGTTATTTAAGTTGTGTCTTTAATGGTTCACCATCCTTGGTTCACCACCAACATATACTGTACTTGCCAGATGCAATGTCAAAATAAGCTGATGGCTAGTGGCATAAAAGTTGGAACACACAATGAATAAATCACAAGAAAATATAGTAAAAGAAACATTTCATTTATAATCAATATCCCAGCTGTATTAGTTTTATAGTCCGCCCAATTCTGCACCATCCACATGGATTATTTCGTGTGAAGCATCCTCCAGCGGCACCATACACACGCACACACGCACACAAACCTGCAAAGTCCAGATTTGTGGCGAGTGGGTTGAGGATGATTGGCAGGACGCTCATGCCGACGCCCCTGCAGCTGATTTCTCTGTCCGCAGTCTGACACTTGCTGAGAGGAGACTCTGTAGAGCTGGTCTGTGTTTCCGTCTCATTGCTTGGAGCCTCGGTTGCCTCTTCTTCTTCTTCTTCTCCTTCTTCTTCTCCACCTCCCTCCTCTTCTTGTCCTTCTTCCTCTTCCTCCTCCTCTTCTCCACCTCCCTCCTCTTCTTGTCCTTCCTCTTCCTCCTCCTCTTCTTCTTCTTCCTCCTCTTCCTCCTCCCGACCCAAAAGATTAAAAGGTGTGAGTAACAATTGCTGAATGGATGATTTGAACTGAAGCAAAACTGCCTTATTCATCCAAAAACACAAACCTCTTCCTCCTCATCGTCGTCTTCGTCATCATCATCATCGTCGTCGTCATCTTCATCTTCATCTTCTTCCCCCTCCTCCTGTTGCGTTTTTCCTTGATCCATCAGGCGCTGTTTATCAGCATGGAGCTCCTTAAGTGCAGCAATAAGACCACTAGTTTCCTCCGGTCCTTTCCCACGTTTTCTCCAGCCCATCAGGGGGGGCCCGAAACCCGCCTGCAAGAAGCAGCCAAATATCGCTCACATGTTCCGACAAAGGAAATGTGTTTCAATTGATGAACAGGATTTTTTTTTTGCCATACTATTCTATATGCAGTGGCCTCCACAGCATCTGCGTGTTTCCTCTTCCCCCAGGCACCTCGTCTTCTCCGACCAGCCTGCATCTTTCTGACTTCCACTCCTCGATGCTCCCCCTGCTCATCCCCAGCCTCTTCTTCAGCAGTCAGAGCAGAACAAAAGGTTTAAAGGAAAGCAAAATAAAGGCAGTGAAGGTATTTCAGCCGAGATCATGCAGACGGAATCAGGCAGCATTTGGAAGAAAACAACTCGTCTTACCAGAAGGGAGGGTTACACTTGAAGCATATGTATCCAACAAGGTCACTCTATCAGTTCCTGCTGGTTGATGTGCTGCAGTTTCTACTTCACGTGTGCTAGAAGTTTCCAAGTATCCCCGCGCGCCGTGCGGAGAGATAAAACCTGATAGAGCCGCGCCACAGAGACAGGCCAGCGTGATCCACGTCCTTGGCGTTTGCATTGTTGGAAAGTTCTGTAGAACGTTCTTCGGTCTTCGGGGGTCGAAGCGACGATGAAACAAATCCACGGAGTTCTGACGGTGATGCCAAACTGAGGAAACTCAGTGAGCGGACGATGAACTGAGAGTTAACACAAACTCTGAGTGAATGCCGAAACGAGAGAGGAAGGGAAGGAATATCTTGGGAGGCGGCGTGACCAAAAAAAAATAAACTCACATTGTTAATGAAGGCTTGTTCATCGCACCATGAAATACACAGACCCGCCCTGCTCCTCCTCGTCTCCTCACCGTCTCATAACTGGCTGCTAACTTTTGGTGGAATAGCAGAGGGGCAAAAGATGGAAACTGGAATACAATAGCTTTCGTACAGCTGTGATAGATTCTAGTGGGACGTTGTGACACACGATCTGTCGCGTCTGTGTTTTTCTCCTGACTGAATCAGACGGACCCCTGACCTTTCCCAAACAAGACACGGGTTGGTAGAAAGTTCAGGTTGGAGCCAAAAACTTGTAGCGTCTATGTATGAAAACAAACATGCCCTCTGGGAGACGAACAGCCGGCCCATCTTTACATTGTGTAAACACAGTACTGTCCGTAGGCCCATACGCTGTGTAGCGTACTCATAGTGTGTGACAACAGCCCCTCACTCGCAGCCAAGTGGGGGGGGCAGGTGTCACCGGCTGAGTGTTGAGCCACAGTGGGATCTTTCACTGAGGGGTGAAACCTGCTGACAAACCCACTTTATTGGCTCAGTAACCACACATGCTCACATTAAACCTGCAAACATGTGTTCTCATGTGTTTCCTAGGCAACAGCTACATATATGTGAAGACAAAGTTAAATGTATATAATTTGTTCGGTTTTACTGTACTTGATGCTCAGCTGATAAGGAATTTGAAAGATTAATTCCAAATGGCACATGTCAACGTATCAGTAAACTGTGGAACACTGAGGTCCCTCTGTGCTCATCCAAGGTAAATAGCAACGCGTCCAGGAACTATTCATTTAGGTCTTGACAGGAACGTGCAGTAACCCACGACCACACATTCACCAACCCCATCCTTACCTCAGTCTGACAACACCCTGGGTCAACCGTTTACCCTGCAGGGGCCAACGGTTCAAACCCAAATACTTCAGCTTGTAGTTTGAGTCCAGTTGACCGGTATGAAAAAGTTACCATTTCTGTAGTGACCGCTATAATATAAAATATGTATAAATATAAACGTGATGCCAATTGAATGCTAACACAGATGGGTGAAAACTTCCAAGCCGCTCGATCAGATGACCAAGAGATTCACGTAGGCCTCTGGCATCGTGAATATCTTTGCAAAAGGTATCCATCTTTCAGATGAGGCTTATTTAGTCTCGACACTGGAAACAATTAAACAAAAACAAAGACAATAACTTTGCTTAATTTTTTAATTCAGCACAACAGGTACAAAGGGATGAGTCAGTGCCCTGGAAAACTAATAGCTGGTTGTGATGTCCATGTAGACAGAACCAAGGAGGAGGAATGTCACTATTCATAACTAAAACTGGCTTAACCCTAAACAAGTGGTAAGATGGGAGTCATTGTTGTATGGACTGCGGGAAGAAAAAAAAAAAAAAGGATTGAATGCTAAACAGGAGGCCTGATCAGAACCGCTTCTGCTTTTTAATCGGTTACAGTATTCAGTGATGTTTGTCGGAGCTTCTGTCAAGACACTATTTTGAACACATGATAAAAAAAAGGATACAGGAAAGAATGTACTAGAGGGTACGCTTTGAAAACACTGCAATCCTACTCCCATCCCTCCCCATACAGGTTTAGCACAGTGCCCTCAAGTCAAAGCTAAAGCCGGCACAGAAGTGATAGGCGGAGCCTCACGCGAGAGGCGCGGTCCTCAGTTTGCAACGGTCTGACGCACTGCTTCGGCAATGTGCTTGGCGCTGATGCCGAAGAGGTCGAGCATCTCCTGCGGCTTGCCGCTGTGGGGAACACCAGTCACTGCCAGCTGGGTTACAACAATGCCAGGCTCCTTGCCCACTGCGGACAGCACTGCTTCACCAAGACCACCTGGACCGAGGAGACAGACACAGCAAAAAGGATGAGGTTGCGCGCTTAATGGAAACCGGTTGATAAAGAAAAAGTTCAAAATTCTGGCCCCTTTGTGGCAAGAATCAAAGTCTGAAAACTCAGACCGTATTGGTACAGGGCTTCATAAGCACAAACACAACCTACCCTCCTTGTAGTGGTCCTCCACAGTGATGATCTTTCCCCCTGTGGCTCTGGCACTGGCCAGAATGGTAACTGCATCCAAGGGCTTGATGGTAAATGGGTCAATTACGCGGATTTTCTTTCCTATTAGGAAAATCAAACTTCATTAGACAACGGCCAAACTAGAACTTGAGGACTTCCATCCACTGAATTAGCAAAGAGTTGTGAATGAAAGTCATGAAGAGTCTGCTGCAATGCCTACATCTATCCACAAGGGGGCAATGCAAGTTTACCTTCACTGGCCAGCGTATCAGCAGCAGAGAGGGCCTCGTGCAGAGTAATGCCAGCTCCAATCACAGTCACGCAGTCATTGTCAGACTGGCGCACAATCTGGTAGACATTTATTTGAATAAATGTTGGTCGCCAATTGGTCCACAAGAATTAGTTTAAAATGTTTTTTTTTCTTTCGAAATCAGTCTATGAGTCATTACCTTTGCTAGGCCCACTTTGAACTTTTCATCTGGAGCGTAGAGGACGGCAGTGTCTGGTCTGCTGGTACGGATAAAACAGATACCCTGAAAATATAAAGTGAAGAGTTACAAAGAATGTTACTCTCCATCATTCTAACTTGATCACGAACAAACTCCACCACTAGGTGGCCTACAAACCTTGGTGTTTGCCGACAGCTCAACAGCCCTCTCTGTGGATACCGCATCACTGGGGTAAAACACTGTACATGTTGGAATGGCGCGGAACATGGCCAGATCCTCGAGGGCCATCTGGGAAGGACCATCCTCGCCTGAAAACAGACTATCAGTCGTGACGGCTCTGCAAAACTCATCTACTGCCCCCCACCAAAAAAAGCCAGTGACTCCTCAGAAGGCTTACCGATGGAGACTCCGCAGTGGGACCCCACCAGGTTGACATTGGTCTGGGAGATGGCTCCCATGCGGATCTGGTCATAGGCGCGGGAGAAAAAGGCAGCAAATGTGCTGGCAAATGCAACCGTGCGGTCTCTGGTAGCGCAGCCAATGGCCACTCCCACCTGCAGCAGTGAGCAGAGACCGGCGTGGAGGGTCAGTTTAATTAGTAAGAGGCTTTTTATGTGGGCATGAATAGTAACAGAACAGACAACGTTGGAGCAGATTATGGTGGTAAAGAGTTAAACATGATCCAAATGGAAACCCTGCATGAATTGGAGTGAAGTATGTACCATGTTCTGCTCAGCGATGAAGCACTCAATGTAGCGGTCGGGGAACGCCTTCTTGAAGGTCTCTGAGAAGGTGGAGTTTTTGGTGTCTCCATCAAGGGCCACCACTCGCTTACTTGCCTCCCCCATCTTGGCCAGGGCGACGCCGTACGCACGCCTCGTTGCCATCTGAAAAGTTATTCAACGCAACAAAACAATTATCTACACGTCAGTTATAAAGTTAATCTTACAACAGTTAAAGACCGCATCAAACCTTTAAACTAACAACAGCACCATCAGTTACTTTCATTGAGTGTTTGAGGGCTTCGCGTCAAATACTAAATATCATTCAAGAGTCTAAAAATGCAATCGATCACATCAGCCAGCGTTTAAGTAGAGAACAAGCAACTAGTAGATACCTTTTCTCCCTTCTTGTATGCAGGGGGTGACGGCAGGGAGATGACGCTAAGGTCTGCGGGTGCAGTGTCGTCTTTGGGCAGCTTAGGGGTAAGAGTCTTGTTGGGGACCTGGATCAGAGCCTGCAGGTCTTTCAGGACGTCATCCACTCGGTCCTTGGGGATGGGCTTGCCATGCCAATTATCAAGATTCTCAATGTCTACAGCACAAAAGGGATGAACGAGTGAGAATCAAATTCAGATAACCAAACACTTTGAGCAGATAGAACATCTGGACCACACTTACTCTTGAGCCCTTTGCCCTTGAACGTCTTGGCTACAATGCAAGTGGGTTTGTCCTTCACCTGCTGAGCCTGCCAGAAAGCTTTGCACAGCTCCTCCACATCGTGTCCATCCACAACATACGTGTTCCACCTAAAAAAGAAAATACGGGTCCGGTTAACGAGGACACATTGAAGCAAACATTAGGCCAAAACAGGAGGCGTGCGAGTGACTGAGAAGAAAAAAAAAAAAAAAAAACAGCCTCTGTACGTGATAGGTTAAATGCATTCCATAGATCTTAAGAGAATTAAGATAAAAGTGGAGGAATCTCTTGTACGGACCCGAACGCTTCACAGCGCTTGCGGTAGGTCTCCATGTCATGCTTCAGGGGTGCAGCTTCACTTTGACCGAGCCGGTTGACATCCATGATCGCCACCAAGTTGTCCAGCTTGTAGTAGGAGGCAAAGGCCATGGCCTCCCACACGGAGCCCTCTGAACACTCTCCATCGCCCATCATGCAGTACACACGGTATCTACAACACAGTGCAGGCAGGCGTAAGAGGAAATACGGACACTGATCTCTAAACAATGAAGCACAGAATATACAAAACAAGTCTTTGATCAAGGTCACTCACAATACCTTTCCACTTAAGAGTATTATTTGCTTTATTGATCATTTCATTAAGAGAACTCCTTGCAAAATGCAGGTTGATGTAGGACCTGATTTAGGATAAATGGCAATAGTTTTGTATCCATGCTCACCCTGATTTGTCAAAATGTTTGCCAGTGTAGGCCATCCCACAGGCAGCCCCGAGACCCTGTCCCAGAGATCCTGTAGCCACGTCAACAAAGGCCAGTTTCTGATGAATAAAAGGAAAGAATAAAGTTAAAGACTTAAAAGTGATATACAGTATTCCAATGAAACTAGAATAGAACCCAGGAGTTGGGCCTTACGGGTGTGGGGTGCCCCTCCAGGTCACAGTCAACCTTGCGCAGGTTGAGCAACTCAGACTCCTTCACGAAACCGGCCTCTGCCCATGCAGCATACAGGATGGGTGCAGCGTGACCCTAGAGACCGCAGGAAAGTCCTTAAAGCCAAGTTGATAACCACATCGCAGGCCAGCTGACCAATATTCTCTGGCAAAGCAACGGGACGGCCAACCTTTGACAGCACAAAGCGGTCGTTGCACTGGTTGCGAGGGTCGTCTGCTTTGTAGCGCATGGTGTTGAAGAAGAGCACGGACATGAGCTCCGCTGCACTGCAGCATGATGTGGGGTGCCTGGGGAGAGAAGAGAGACACGTCAGTTTAGGACATGGGATGGGAGAGCTTGGCTAAATAGTTATTCTGCAACATGATCACATCGGTCATGTTTCTCCATGTTTTTCTACTGAAGCAACGTAAACTTGTGAAACGTGTTAGTTGCTGCAGAATAGTGCACCTAGTATTGCAATATGTACGTTTACTCAACAGCATCTCCGCTTCCCTATGGGGGATGAATTGCGAATGGCAGCTTTTCAACCCTGCTGGACCAGTTATCTTGAACAAACAAACATCACGGCCACTGTTAAGATTTCACAATAAAAACCCACGGCCCCATTTACCCCCTTGTCCTTTTGTCACGCGATAGCCTGCTGGGAAATAAACTAAAACTAAAGAGACTCCTGTGTAATGATCCAAATCAAATAATCCGACAGGTGTTTTTTGGTGTCAGAACTCAAAAACAAGCTTTGTTAAGGGAGACAACCGTATCAGCACATCAGATGCCCCAGTCTGGGCGTCCCTGGTAGAATTTGCCATCCAACCTCTTGTCAGTTGATACAAGGAAGTAACAAACAGGTTTCCCAAACATCTCCATGCAACATGCAGTTGCAAAAGTAAAACAAAATCACAATGACGGAAATCTTGTAACATGAATACAATGAAACTGTGGGCTGGGAAGGAGGGCCCATAGTTTCATTGGAGATTCACACGCGTGCAGAAACTATAATTGTGGTCCTTTATCACATGGATCTTGTTAACTCCACGCCTTCCACGGTCTCATGATTCAGATTTTGTTAATACATGAAGAAAAATAAAATAAAGTTTTCCCAGTGAGTAGCTAAAATATTTGCTGTTAGTCCAAAACTAATTGACACACGCACGACTAGTGAGGTAGAAAACGTGACAGATTAACAGTTTTAATGACACGCATTGCTGATGCCTTCTGAGGTCCTTTGTTCATTTTGGGTGAAAGAATTTAGAAACTGTAGGATAATAGAGGACAAATTATTTATAGCTCCATAAACCATAAAAAGACGCGCCTGTGAACGAGGAAATCATTAAGGATTCTCGGACTTTAACCCTACGCTGAACGTGAGGAGGAAGAAGACGTGAAATACTACAGGTGCTCTTCCCAGCGACACTTTCGCACCAGTTTCCTGCAAATAAGTGTTTGGAACATTAGCACGAAACCTGCAGCTGAGAAATTGCAGCGCCAAGTTGACCAGAGATAAATCGACCGTTTCGCAATATCACGGGATTTCTGGTCAGCTGGGGGGGGAAGCGGGTCGCTGCTAATGACAAAGTCTAAAGACACACAGCGTGACGCCGCTGCGCGCTTTAATCTGTGACACCAATCATTAGCTTATGCTAATCGTAGCATCGACCCACGTGCGCTCGCGGCCAGTAGAACCCGAAGCGGCTTACAAAACGCGCATGGCACGCTCGATAACCACGCGCGAGCTGTTCGCCGTGGCAGACTCCCCCCCCGCGAGGAAGTAACCTGCAGCACGTGCCGCCGAGCGGCCGCAGGAGAAAAAAAAACACACTACAGCCGACGACACAAGTGACGCTTCTACTCGAACCCCGCCGTACACTGCGTTCGCGTATTAGCGACGTGCTTTTCGTGAAGTCCCTCGCGCGCGCCTTACCCGGAGTTGGAGGCGCACGTCGCCTTGATGGAGTTGATCCTGAGCTTGTTGGCGACGTCTTTCAGCCCCTGCAGAGTCTTCTCGTCGGGTTTGTGGTAGCTCGTCATGGTTTCGGAGTTCGCGTAGCTCGGTTACTTCAATTACAAAGCTGCTGGAGAGGGCGGGGTGGCGGAGGGGGTGTTGGTTCGTAGGTTCAAGACTGTGCAACGGCGCAGCTAGCTGTCCGATGCGAGCACGACCGAGGCGGAGGACGTGCGGAGGGGAGGGGGCCGACTTATGTGTCCCACGCGGCCACGCCCCCCCGATCACGTCATTGGACGGACCGCGTGGTACCAGTTGCGCACAAGACGTTACTTGTGCTACTTTCGCAAGTCGTTTCCAGGGCTTCTTTATGTAGATCTGTAGTTACTTCGTCCCTATCGTTTCCTTTTATTAAAATAATAACACAATGTGGCGAACTGTTAAGCAAGCTGTATGGTGTGGTTTGTTTTTTATTATGGAATAAGACCTAAAAAAAGATTATTCTGTGAAATGAGATGATATGAGTATGAGTTGAGGAAATATTGATGACAATTTAAGGATATAACTGTTAATCCGAAATTATATTTATTATCCGATTCAATGTGCGCCTACCGTGTGCTTTAAAACAGTATAGTTTACTCCTGGAATATTTCCATCCATGCATATCGCTGTTCCTTTAAAAGCAAAGCAGGAAGCTTCGCCAACGCGGAAATGCTGGCGGAATTTGCCCTCTCATCCTTACTCAGGGAAACAGCACAGTGTGAATACTCGTTCATTTCTTAGTTCTTAGTCACTGAACATGTGCGGCATTAGATCCGACAGAAAAAAAAACATTTACATTTTTTTATTGTTGAGAAAATTGATGGGTGGTAAGAAAATGACAGATGGGAACCTTTTATTATCCTTGTTACAGATACAAAGTACACCAGACAGATACACTATCAAGATGTAGCCCAACAACACAATCCCTGTCAACCAGTCACGCAGCAAGCCTGTGTTTTCAAGGAAGTCAAACACTTCCTTATTTTGACCATCATTGCAAATCTTATTGCTCAAATTTCCTCTTCTTTAAGCGCCTGAAAGGAAATGCGGGCCATTAAAACAAGCAGCAAAAAAAAAAAGCAGTTGGAGAAATAAGCTTTTTCTCACCATCATTCTCTCACGGGCCTCGACCCTCTCCTCTGGGGAGACGGGATCTTTGTCCAGTCGCTCCAGCTGGGGCAGGAGAGTCAGTACGCTCAGCCGGTAGTCTGTCGCGTCCACCAGAGGATTGTCAGAAAGGACCAGAGCTCGCAGAGTTTTTGACACACGCGCGAGGCCTTCCAGAGCTTTCTCATCTGAGATCACGTTGTTTCTAAGAGACAAGAGACAGACGCATGTGGGATAAATTATAATCTGGGATGCGTCCTTTAATTTGGTGTTTTACTGAATCCATGAAAGGCTCTGATCAGCGCTGTCCAGATACAACTGATGCGTACCTCACATTGAGATATTGGAGACACTTCATGTTGGGGCTGAGGCCGTCCAGAGCATCCAGCTGGTTGTCTCGAAGGTGAAGGGTGGTGAGGCGCTCTAACTTCTCTAATCCCTCCAAATGCTTGATCGCATTTTGGGCCTGAACGGAGAGCAAGGATGCTTACAGGCGATCTATCCCATGGCACGTTACATAAGTATTCAGGCCGCGTGCTGGTGCTACGTAACAAACAGTGCTTTCATTACCAGATATAATTGCCGCAGGTTTGGAAGGTTGATTCCATCTGTGGTATCCAGTTTGTTTCCCCTCAGCTCCAGCGTGACCAGGTTGGCTAAAGAGCCACTCTGAAGACCATTCACTCTCTGAATACGGTTACCTGCCGCAGAGGTTGCTAATTGTCGAGGACTTTCCAAAAATGTATATATTCAGCACGACATATGTAGATAAGAATGACTTAGCACATAGTAAACTCCCTTCTGATCAAATAGATAACTCATGAGATGTCATCAAGTCTCTAATTTCCATTTCTAATGATAGTTAACATACGTTCCTTTTACAAACTCAGAATTAATCAAACCGGCAGATCAACCTGTGAGATTGAGGCTCTCCAAAGAAGGTCCGACGAGGCCGTCCAGGTCGGCCAGGCGGTTCCCTGCCACGCTCAGCCACTGCAAGTAGATCAACTGAGGAAAAGGTTGCCCTTTGAGGGTTTCCACAGCGTTTTTGTCAACCTACGAGAGAGAGAGGAGGTACGGACAGGGGCACGGCAGACCCGGAGACGTCATTTACTGAATGAATAGAGGGGAGAGGTCCTTGCCTTCAGCCAGAGCAGCTGGGTGAGTGACGCCAGAGGAGAAAGATCAATAAGGTGGTTGTTGGATACATCCAGAAAACGTAGGTGAGTAAAACTGGCGATCGCAGCAATGTCGTCCAGTCCGCTGAGTGGTAGAATGATGTCGAAGGGAATGTTAGGAGAAAATGAAAGGGATTGTTCAAAAGCAGAGAATTCAGCTTGTGTATTTTTCGCTTACTTGTCTTTTAGGTTCACTTTGACAAACGCGTGCCCTAGTCCATTTCCTGTTCGGCACAGCAAGGAGAGCCCCCGACTTATGGTTTCTTTGGTCAAATGACAAACCTCTACCTGTTAGACGAGAAGACATCACAGGATTATGCCGTCTAAATTGCAGATGTACAACAATACTCCATTGATGTTTAACTGTAAGTATGTGGCACAGCTCAGCATAAAGCTTCAAAACCACGTAGGTCCAAGTAACATTTAAAGAATTGGGTTCCCCATGTAGAACTTTCTGTGAGGTACTTACAAATACTAGGGTAATACATTTGCGTAAACGGTACAAATAATATACTTATGTAATGTTTAACTAATGCTTTATGCACAAATAAATGCAGGCTGCATCTTACATTTCATTTTCTCCCATCAACATTTTATAAAGTCACTATGAATTAATACGACTTGTTCCCCAATTATGGGGATGTTAATTTACTTTATATTTAATTGCTATGCTACCAAATTAGGTAGTATCCAGTAACAATCACAATTCAGACAGGCTTTTCTGAAGCAGAATATGCAATTTTCCTAGAAATGTGAAGCGTTTCTCTTCTGTCTAACCGATTGTCAATTGAAACATTTACAGCCTGAAGGGTGTAAACATGAGTTGATATGTTTATATTTTTTATGGAGATTAATGTATAACGTTTCTCAATGAATAATAAAGTGATGTTATTACGTTAATCGTGGTGTGTTGATGCTGATTCTTGCATTAGCTGAGAATCACTTTAGTGGATTATATGATGTATAGCTGTTATACCTTTGACTTTTAATGTTCACATATTTAATGTTTTGTGAGCAGACAGAGAGAAAGGGGCGAGGGGATCAAGCATTGACATTTCTTATCTGGAATAGGTACGATCATTTTTAGATATTTTGCTTACTTCACCTGTATAAAACCAACCTTTGTGACTTCCCAAAGTTCCTGCTAAAGTGGGTGATCCGACCTAAACCGACTAGAATAAACCTCCCGAGACACACAGCTCGTGGATTGCTGCGCTGTGTGCGTTGAATGTCTTCAGAAGGGATCTCTCAGGTTAATTAGCGTCACCAAGCGAACTTCTACCTTCTCGTTCTCTTCGGCTTCTTGTTGATGTGCTGCTTCTTCTTCTTCTCCCTCCACGTCCGACAACACTGCATCCTCATCCATCTCAGACATGCTGGCCAACTTGGTCCGTGTTTTCACAAACAAAGTGTTGTATCGGTAACCGATCAGCTGTTATCTATCTATCGCTAGTCAAACTGCACTGACCGGGTTAGCTAAACCAAGCTAGCACATTAGCCTAATGAACGCAGTAACTGCAAATCCTACTCGAGAGCTCGATTGTGTACCTTTTATATTACAACCATCATAGGGATAGCGAACTATTAAACCAATGTTTGCTTACACTTGGAAATCTTGAGAATGAACGGTGTCCACAGTGACGTTACGCTGCGGACTCTTTGATAAAACATCAATTATAGTTGATGCCTGAACGGGCAAACAAAGAGGCGCTTTGTCGTTGCCATGGAAACCCAACAGCAACAGCACGCGCGCGGACGCCTCTGATGGGAAACACGTTCACAGAGCGACGGATGAATTGTGCTACAACTGTAAAAACATTTTCCACGTTTTTCAACCACAGATTTGCAAAAACACATTATTAGAAATTTTAAAATATCAGTTTATCTGTTTACTGTCTCACCCATAAGATATAATATAATAATCAAGAGATTTATGAAAAGGTTGTTGTGAATTAACAAGTTTGATAAACAGTCAGATTATTGAAAAGAAATACAGGAATAAAAAGTAACTTTCTTCAGAGATAATGCTGTATTACATTGTGAATTTCTATCAGCAACATGACAAACAGAAACTTTTCATGTACACACTAGTTTTAGTGTGACCATGACCAGTATATGAGAACTCTTCAAAAATGTACAGTCCATGCTCAGATCAGTCATTCACTGAATGACAAGGCATATATCATTAAATAAAAATAAAATCTATGGTGCATAGACAGTAATTCCCCAATGTTTCCCAACCACATAAAGCTTGTTTATCACACACAAGCTCTGAAGCGCGTGAGAACACAAAACTGCATTATTCAGGGAGAAAGCAAAAAAAGTGCATTCTGTGCAATATCCCGACATCCACTGCTACAGGATCAGTTCATGAGTATATTACCACCGTTGAGGTAATTGTAATTACAAACCAAAATTAAGAGGTTTATCTATATGACGTTGATGATGAAGTGTTGCGTGCTAAGCTTCGTCAATGTCCTCGGTCAGGAGGTCGAGATTTCGGGGTGAGGGCTCATTCCACTTGCATATTGCGTAAAAGAAGCCCTTTCTTTACTCCTCCTTGCAGCATCCTGGCACCAAGACTACCGCCTGTGAGCCCGTCACTAAAGAGAGAAAAAGAATAACATCACATGGCTGTCACATCGCTTACATATGCAAACTTAAGTGAGTACACTTGTATGTACCTCCATTGTATGGATCAAGCAACATGTCTTACAACAGTTACAGACACATAATAAAACAAGACTATAACCATATGGACCCATCGTAAACCGTACAAGAGGAACACGGCGTGGCAATACCCAGTATTTCGTAAACAACCATTTCTTCACATCTTACACCATATTACACCTTACTAAGACAAACATGAGAGTCGGTTTCCTTCCTTCAATGCTTCTTACATGGGGCTAAACTTCCTCCTCTTGGGATCAGGAGGCTCGGGTCCATCAGAAAGTCTCTGCAAACAAAAGAAAAAAGCACGAGTGAAATAAAAGGCGAATGTAAAAGTAGCATTAATATCAAACAGAGTTAGTGTATAAAATGACAGTCAGAGCCTGAGCCTTGACCAACCTCTTTCCCTGAAGATTCCTGCTGTACTCTTCTCTGCTCCAAGTTTTGCTAGAGACAGACAGTTAAAAGTTTAATTATTTTTGCAGAGGAATGTCATCAGCTCAACTTTAGTACTAAAATATTAGAGACAACAATTTTGCATGATTAAAATACAATGAAACAAGTAGACTCTCCTTGCAAAGCTTTATGTGTAACCACCTTGTGTAGCTCAGAGAGCTGCTGGTGCCTGATGAGGGCCTCCTTGCTGGGGAACTGCCTCCTACACAGCAGACAGGCCAGTTTGACCCAGTCCGTCATTCTCCCTTCCTTCTCTTCTTTGTCAGCTCCTTCTTCGTCGCTGTCAGTTTCTCCACTGTAGGCTGGGACCAGACCCTCCTGCTGAGGAGGGGAACGCTGGAGAAACAGGATGCAAGATCCAATACTTAGGATAAAAGCAGAATTTATCATATTTCTAAAAATAAAATAAAAAGCACAAAAAGGTGTTTTGTAGGACTCTGCATAAGAACGTCGGTGTGTTATGAGAACTCTGAGCAAAACAGACGACTTTGATCACTTTGACCATGTCCTTACTTCTGCACTTTGTCGGATCTGGTCCAGAAAGATCTGATGCCGTTCGGACAGTGCACCCTGCAGGGGGGCAGAAACACACCAGAAGGGTCACACAGTCAGTAAGACATTATCTTAATCCGACATGGTCTATTCACGGCACAAGGTCCTCTGGCTGACACACAATCTCCTCTTTCACTATGATGCACCAAAGATAAATCAGGGTTTACAGCTTAGCATTACGTCTCGGCGTGAGGGTCACGTACCTTTTTCTCCAGAACAGCGTAGCCTGCATCAGCACTCGCAGATTCTCGCCGGTCATCTAGGCGACCGTGGGCCGGCGCCCGCGTGTAGCCCGGGGGAAGTGGTGTGGAGCCGACTGCGGGGGAGGAGGCGACAGAACGCATGTTCTCCTTGTGTCTGTTGAGACTCTTAGCCCAGCGCTCCATATCTTTTGCAATCTATTAAGATAAAGCCCAAGAGATGCAAGTCAGTTACAGTTGAAAAAAGGGCTGGCCAATAACAACTGAAGAAAATGCTCTGTAATCCTTCAACTAACACCAACTTGGTGAAATCTAAAATTTCAAAGAAAAGAGTTAAATAACTATGGCAACACAGGCCATATAGAATAGCAGTGTACATTATGTACTGAGCTGTACAGCTCGTCTATGACGTTCACTTTGAAGTCCAAAGGAAATTGTCATTTTTTGTGCTCATCCATCATGACATGAGTTTCTACTCAGAATGCAGAATACCTGTTGAGCAGTTTTACTCTTGGGTTTGTCTTTCTTCTCCTTGCTGCCAAGGTTAGCGAACAGGGAGTCTGAAGGGGCCGTGCCAATGTTCGAGGGGCCGCCTTCAGAGTTTGACTGGCCAGCAGCAGCAGGAATGTAAGTGTGCTTCTCTCCATCCCAGTACATGTACTGCTGCGTGTGAGGATTGTAGTAGTACTGCAAAAAGGAAGGGCACACAAAACCAGACCTAAACGCCGAGGAGGAGGACACGCACAGAAAGCCACTTCAAATGGAGTGCTGGCTGAACATTTAGAGCGCTGTACATTCACCACTCGTTACCTGGGAGTTGGGGTCATAGTAGAGACCGGTGAGAGGGTCGTAATAGAAGCCGGAGCTTTCGTCATACTGGTACGTGGACACGTCTGGCACAGCTAAAGTCAAAGATGCAAAACAGTTACCCAATAGAAGCATGACTGTCTATCGGCGGCAGTATTGTGGAGAATTACCAGCTAAAAGTTACTTGCACCAAAACTATTTTAAATGCCTGATTTCTTCATAACCCCACCCCCCCCCAAATAAATAGTTTGAAAGACAAAATGTACATCTACTACATTCTCAATCCGAAGGCCACAGGAACAGGAATTAAAGCCTTACGGTATTGCTGCAGCTCGTGTTCAGTGCCCGGGGTGGCAGGTTGGCTGGGAGTAGCAGGTTGTGGTTTCCCCACTATCTCCACCTGTGGTGACAAAGGTACCAGTGCTCAGCCCAACGTGACGGCGGGAAATAATAATGCAAGAACACAAAAAATAATATGGTACCTGGGAAACCGGTGCAGCAGCTGTGGCGATGAGAGCCGTCTGTGTATGAGAATGAGGCTGCTGCTGAAGGCCTGCTGACCCCGACGCCCCTCTCTCGGCTGCAACACACAACACAGGTGGCTTAGGTGGACTCAAGTGCAATTCTGTATACATCGTTTGGGCAATGCGCTGTACATAATTCAGCATACGTCACACCAACCTGGAGCTGCTGCTGCTGCTCCTCCTGCGTACGCCCCCATCTGTGCTGCTCCTACGCCGGGTAAAGCAGCGACCCTGGCCTCGGCCAGGGCCTTGAAAGTTGTGCCATCGATCCCAGAGTACTCATTACCGTCCTGGTTGTATGTTACTGCTGCCCCCTGCTGGTACACGGTTGTGTCTGTACTCTGGATTCCACCTGAACCATTCTGAGCAGTCTGAGTAGGAAGTAGATATATTTTCTTTTAAACAAGATAAAAACACATGGATTGAATTTCTAAATATACAACGTTTCATTAAGGAGGTTTAACCTGCGTGACAGCCCACTGTGCAGCAGCTATTGCTGTGCTGGCCACCGTAGCAGCACTCACTCTGCTGCCCTCTGTCATGAATACGTCACTGGCAAAGCAAAGAGGCACAAAGAGGGTTTCCAGCGCTGATGCAAAATACATCTCTATTACATTTTCTCATGAGCAATCAAGACTATCAACACGATGTGGCATATTATTATAAGAGATATTTCTTTATGTTATAGTGTTAATGTGTCTCTTGTGCTTTCTTTAAAGCACAGTCCAGGTGTTTACCGCTTGGAGCCTTTGGCAAACTCCACCACAATTGCTTTCCCGTCAATAGAGAGACTGGGCTGGAGAGCCTGCAAGATCTGCAGCAGCTGAGATGCTTCCTGTGAGCAAACAAACAGACTTGTGAGTTAGTGTTGGTGCAACTCCTCTTTTGTGTCTTTAGGGTAAATATTAAACTGCATTTTTTTCTTAAGTAAACAGTCATTCATCGCAGAAAAGGACCTATGGCCATATGAACAGTTGTTCACCACAGCGGCTTGTGTGGCAAGTCTTTCGCTTCCTGTTTTTTTTAACCTACATTCCCCTCATCTGTAATGTCGCTCCACCGCTTGCTTTTTTGTTATAAGCATTGTACCAAGATTCACTCGCACTGCCATGTCTGGTTGACCGTCTCGAATCCCAGGACCGCAATCTCATACACTCTTGGTATTCCAACACGTGCTTTCTGCTGAGGTGATGGAGTAAATTGCTATTGTTGCCACCAGGCACAATAATAGTGGCTCGACAAACTTTGCAATAAAATTGTTTTATGATCTACGTCGGAGTTTTCAAACGCTAAAACCCTCCAAACAGCACACAGCTTCTCTGGGGCACAAGTTGTCTTGGTGCATCTCTGGTTGTTGTGAGAAGGGGCTAGCTGTACCCAGCGTGCAGTTTGCCGGTATAATTTTAAAGATTATTATTACCATTAGTGTTACAAATGTTTATGGAAATTTGAAATACCGTCCAGAGTAAATATCCATTCAAAATCATTAGAACACATGAATGAATGAATCAATATATCAAAGGTGCCTCGTCTAGCACTTGGGGCATGTGTGTGT